TGCTAATAACAAAACTTGACTTTCACTCACTCCTATAGCTTTGCTCAGTGAGCTAGATTCTCTGAAAATAAATTTGAGAGGGTCTCTTGAGAACAAAACAAGGGGCACGAAGATAGCTAAAGATACATCTGTAAACAGCATACCTCAAAAAAAAAAAAAAGTAAGAGCTGGAGAAGAGTTAGGAGAGAGTGGAGGAATTGGAATCCATTTCTGTTAAGCAAAGAATGAGGATTTATTCCTCAATTACTTTTTTTTAGGCCTGATGATCTGAAAAAGAGCATTTTCTTTGTGAGTAGTAGGGTGTAAACCTTTCTCTGCCCAAGTAACTCCCCATGTGAGTAGGTTTCATCCCAACTTGAAGTGTCCAAGCTTTGTTGGGAATTAAAGTTATTGTAGTGATGTGTACAGTTATTAAGTCAAGGTCTTTGAAAATGAAATGGTGAGCTTGTGTATTTGGGTGCTAAATATTTGGTTGCTAAGTATTTGGTTGCTGAAGTTAGAGAAACTCAGAGAAAAAAGGGAGATGGTTTTAACCAGTAATGTAAAAATCTGGTTCAAATGTCACCTCCTCTATGAAGCTTTCCTCTTAACTACTTACTACTTGATTATAAAACTTGCTGAATTGCATTTGGGCATGTAAATATCACTTATCAACAGTTTAAGGTGATTGAGGGTATGCACAGTAGATGTTCACAATTGTTGAATGAATAATGTATTTCAAAATTTTACTTTTGTTTCCATTTTAATGTCTCACCCATAAACCAGGTAATTTATTTGAAATAAAGCGACAATATTTTCAAAATAATACCTCTAGAGAGATTTCTACCCACAAAGCAGGTCTAATATAATTGCTATACCTTTCTAAGCTGTCTTATCATTTGATTTTATTCCAAATTATGAGTTGATTACACTTTACTTCCCAGCATCTCTGGTTGGGCTCTTGTGCCAGTTATTTATTCCCTCTCAGCTTCAAATTTACCCTTCAACGCCTGCTCTAAAATAATGAATGTGATTCTTTTAAGTATTTCTCCTTTATAGCAAGCATGGCTTTTTCTCACTAAAGGTGCCTGAGGGACATTGCTAGCTCTAGCTGCTACACGGCTGGTTAGCAGGTGTAGAACGTCCACTGGTACTTTGGCCCTGCCATGTACCCAGAATGGCAGCCCTAGCTTGGCCTGATGACCACCTTCCTGTCATCTTCCCAACACAAACACGTCATGCTGCAGGTTTCCCACAAGCAGCGGTACCCTGCACGCTCAGTGTGCCATCCCACCAGTGCCCTGGATTACTTCCTATTTGCTTGGTGGCTCTGGAAATATCTGACCTGGGCAAACCAATGAACTTCCCCACCATTAACTACTGGACCCTGATTGATATGGTTATCAATATAGCAACCTAGAGCCTCTGAAATAAAAATGAAGGTAACTACTTTTGGTTCTGAAATTGAACCTGATTTAAAGCTATTTATTAAAGGTAAAATGTTCTATATCGTACTTTTATCCCTAGAGGAGCTGAGCTCCTAACATTTCTAAGCTTCTATTTTTCTAAGCCTTCCACTCAGAGGTACAAGTCATTAACACTTAACTTTAGCATTTCAGGTTAACAGTAGTTGTCCATAATGAAAACAAAAAAAAATCCCTCAGTGCTCTTTTACCGGAAAAGCACAAAGAGAACCACCACAGAGAAAATACAAATTTAAGAGTGGTATGTAGTAAACACATTAGCGTTGTTACTGAAGAACAGGAACTTTAGTTATCGTAGGTGGAAAATTCTACCTCCTCATACAGAACTATCTCAGCTGCAATATCACAACTTAAAGGGCTGCATACTGCAATGCAGTGAGCTTGAGCTTTGGCATTGCACAGGCCTAGGTTCAAATACCAGCTGTGGCTCTTCTGAGCTTTGGCCAACTCCTGTAATCACTGAGTTTGTAGGGAGTAGCTAATCATCATTGCAGAGTAGAATATACTTCCCACATAGAATTGATGAAATTAAAAAAGATAAGCAACCACTACAGTGGTTAATTTTTTCTGTAAGGGGGCCGGCCCGGTGGCGCACTGGGTAGTGCGCCGCTTGGGAAGCGCGGTGGCGCTCCCGCCCGAGGGTTCGGATCCCACATACGGACCGGCTCCCGCTCACTGGCTGAGCGAGGCGCGGGAGCAACGCCGAGGTTTGCAATCCCGTTGCCGGTCCCTGGTCCGGTACGGGGGCAACACTGAGGGTTGCGATCCGTTGCCGGACACGGAAAAAGACAAAAGACAAAAAAAAAAAAAAATTTTTTTCTGTAAGAACATGGAGGCACAGAAGTAAGGTTTCTGCCAAGAGCACCGTAATTTATAGATAATGCTGAAACTAAACTTAAAATACTCTTGTAGTAAGTATTCAAACTTGGGAAACAAAGTATGTACTAAGGATCAGTAGTTCAGTTTATTAAGTACCATCCTATAATTGCCTGATACATAACATTCCTTATCAAACAACTAATGAAGAGTCACTGATGGAAGTGTAGAATAAGTGCAATTTATGTGATTAAAAATTTAATATCTTTCACTTAAATAATATTTCATGCCATATAAAGTGCTATGAGCAATGCTACTCATTTGATCACAACACCATTATTTTTTAAAGTGATAGGAGTAATAAGGAATTTCTAAACTAAGAAATTTCAAGAAATATATTTTAGGTGTGAAAAAAGGCAAATCATTACCAATAAATGATTTTGCTAATAATTTCTAACCTTTAATAAAAACCCAAATTTCTCTTAACTGTACTTATCACATATAGTAGAAGTTAAATTAAGAGGTTTAAAAATATTTACTTTCCCAGGAAGAAAAAGACTTCTTGGACTTGTTGCAAAAAATAAGCAATAAAATGTAAAAATAAATTTTATATGATAAAAGAAACAAAAGACTGCTATTAACAGGCTGATAACCATTTTTCAAAATACACTTGTGTATAATTTCAATCAAGAAGTGTCTTCAGTATTACAAGTCTAGGCAAACCACATCTTCCCTCCAACTCCTCCTGCTTCCACCTTCTTAAACTAATGGAGACATATTTTTAAAAACATGAAGCTATTTCAAATAATTCTATTTGAAGACTATTGCTTTCTCTATAAAAAGCTTAAATGTCTTCTGAAATGCACCATTTGCTGTGTGTAACTTACCAGAATCTTACTCCTTTTGATAATTGGTGAATGTGAGCCTATGAGCCATGGCGGGTTATGTTTTGGAGGGGAATTTCTATTGCTGCTGCTGCAGTGTCTTACTAAACACACCCACACCATACATGCATAGTATACCACACACAGCATGCTAACGTCAAATATTCCTCATTGTCTCCCTTCTTGAAAGACAGTGACCTGGTGCAGATCCTAATCAAGTCATGCTTTCATTTTAGTAAAAACTTCCAGCTGACTGCCACCCTGTTTTGACTTACCTTGCATATTATAGCCAGACTAATCTTAATTCTACAGTTACTTGCTTCTTCAAAAAACAACAAAAGTTTCCCATTAATAACATCATATTTAAATTAATAGTTAATTCCTCCCGGCAACATACTTGCTTCTTTCATTTCTTCTCTTTCGTGAGACAAAGTCAGCCTCATGCAATGTGTAATGAGGGCAAACTATCCCTGAAAACTAAGATTTAAATGCCATTTAAATTTTTCTCCCACACTCTCAACACAATATACTCACAGCACCACCTATCTATCTTTCAATGAAAGGTTAGAAAACTAGGTTTACTTTTAGCATAATACCCATATGATTGGCCTATATGATTTAGTGTGAAATTAAGTTCAGAGTGCAAAAAAAGAAGAAAAAAATCTAAAATTAGGAGTTCCATTTGACACTATATAAAATATCTGTAACAGTATATGAGTAACAGTATCATGGAAAGATTTGTATTATCTTTTAATTCCATTTTTTCCATGAACTTTTTGAAGTACCCATGTGTGAATTTTTTGGTAATGTTTCAAACGAGAGTCTGGCCAGCAGTATACCAATGATTTTAATCTATCACAAAATACTGAACAAACTGTGTCTGTAAATGTCAACTAGAAATTGCAATCAGGGAGAACAGAGCCAGTCTGATTTATAGCTCCTAATATTCATTGATATTTTCATGCCCAAGTGTTAACTGGAATGTATGTTGCCTTTTCCTTGGAAGTATTCCCAATATTTTAGTCATTTTCCCTGTTTAAATGAGAAAAGAAGATGACCGGGTACAAAATTTGTTTCATATCCTCTCAGTGTGATACTCATCTACTACAAATAAATTAATAGTGCGATGTGGGAGGAACCTGCTGATGCAGCACAGTTCAAACTAAGTATATGACATTTCCTCTCCCAAATCAGTGTTATCCTTTGACCTCACACTGCAACAGAATTCTTTTTAGAAATGCCAATTTCCTTACATAGTCAGTAAAGAAATGATAGAGAAAATATTTTTAGTTAGAATGAACAAACATTTGTATCAAAAGCTGAGATGTCAAACCATGAGAAGCAATTGTTTATATGAAAAACCCGGTGGTGATACCCATGAAGAATTAAAATGTCTTAAGTTTTATAGCATTTTTCCTGTGCAGTTCACATCTCCATAAGGCACGCTGGGATGAACATCAACACTGGTTTCACCCACAGGGAAATGGATGCATTACTGTTCATGTATATCAGACCATAGAAAATAAAACTCTAAGCCATGGTTTATTTATGGCTGTCTCTATTGCTTAGATATAAAAATTAGGGAAAAAAAATTTCAGATAAAGCTGATCCTGAAAATAATGTAACTTAAAAGTTATTTTGAAAATGGCATCTAGTTACAATTTTCAGTATAACTTAGTATGACAAAAGTTTTGAAGATTTTTTTAAAAAACAGCTTGTTAAAACCGTAACTGGATTAAGCATTTTAACAACTGATATATTGGGTGTTCATTACTTTTATATGTATTTTTTTTTTTAGGGTGCTAGGGTTCAGCTTTTTATTGAATGTGTAACAAATTTAGTCAAAAACACCAAAGCTCATGTCATCACCAGACTCCTCAGATTCTTCTTTCCTTGCTTCTACTTTCTTCTCCTCAGCTGGGGCAGCAGTGGTAGAAGGGGCAGGACCTCCTACTAGTGCAGGACCAGCTGCTGGAGCAGTTCCACCAGCCCCTACCTTGCAGATGAGTCTCCCAATGTTGACAATGGCCAGGGCCTTTGCAAACAATCCAGGCCAAAAAGATTAAACATTTATAGCAGCTGCTTTAATGAGGGCATTGATCTTATCCTCCGTGATGGTCACGTCATCGTCGTGCAGAGTAAGAGCTGAGTAAATAATGCAGGCAAGCTCAGGGATGGAGGCCATTGTGCAGGCTAGTGTGGGACGGGTGCTGCCTGGTTCGGTGCTAGTCGCCAGACGCAGTGAGGGCCTCACCCCAATAAGGCCTTAGCTCTCTCAAAGGACTGAGCAACTTGGTGGCAGCTGAGGAAAGGGCTAATTATTTTGGAAGGCTCTTTCACTAGGGCTTATACTTCATCACATCATACTTTACAACTTATACCAGCCAACACTAACACAAGCCTCTCTGTGACTGGCTAATTAATGTATCACTCATTACCAGCCAATTTAAATACAATTGTCTTGCCAGTTATAGCACAGTTGCCAAAAGACAGAAATAAGCTCTTCTAACCTTGATAATAATTAGTGAAAATTTCTCATTGATGAATGGTTTTCTTCTGTTCTCCTTCAGAAGTCTTCTCTTCTACTCTTTACAGAGTTTTACATTCCCTATCAGTTACCTACCTGATGTTGTATTAATTTTAAATCCCTTCTTTCCTTTTTAGAGTCCCTTTTAAGATATTTCCAGGAAAACTGCAGGCATACCTCATTTTACTCCACTTCACTTTTTTATGCTTCGCAGGTACTGTGTATTTTACAAACTGAAGGTTTGTGGTAAGTAAGCCTGTCAAGAAAGTCTGTTGGCACCATTTTTCCAACAGCGTGTGCTCACTTCATGTCTGTGTCACATTTTGGTAATTCTTCCAATATTTCAAACTTTTTCATTATTATTATGTTATGGTAATCTGTGGTTAGTGATCTCTGATGTTATTATTGTAATTGTTTTGGGGTGCCATGAACTGCACTCATATAAGATGGTAAATTTAATCTATAAATGTTGTGTTCTGACTGCTCCAACTAGTTGTTCCTCATCTCTCTCGCTCTACTTGGGCTTCCCTATTCCCTGTGACACAATATTGAAATGAGACTAATTAATAACCCTACAATGGTCTCTTAAGTGTTCATGTGAAAGGAAGAATCACAGGTCTTTCACTAAAAATCAAAAGCAGAAATAGTTCAGCTTAGAGAGGAAGGCTAGTCAAAAGCTGACAGGCCAAGAGCTAGATCTCGTGGGCCAAACAGCCACGTTGTGAATGCAAAGGAAAAGTTTTGAAGGAAATTAAAAGTACTTTAGTGAACACATGAGTGCTAAGAAAGCAAAACAGGTTTACTGCTGATATGGAGAAAGTTTTAGTGGTCTTGATAGAATGTCAAACCAGCCACAACATTTCCTTAAGTCAAAGCCTAATCCAGAGCAAGGACCTAACTCTCTTCAATTCTATGAAGGCTGAGAGGTGAGCAAGCTGATGAAGCAAAGTTTGAAGCCAGCAAAGGTTGGTCTGTGATGATTAAAGAAGGAAGCCATCTTTTTCATAAGATAAAAGTGCAAGGTGGAGCAGCAAAGGCTCATGTAGCAGCTGCAGCAAGTTACCCAGATGATCTAGCTAAGAAAATTGATGAAGGTGGTTACTCTATACAACAGATTTTCAATGTAGACAAAATAGCTTTAAATTGAAGAAGAGGCCATTTAGGACTTTTGTGGTTAGAGAGAAGTCAATGCCTGGCTTCAAAGCTTCAAAGGACAGGCTCTCTTCTTAGGTGCTAACACAGCTGATGACTTTAAGTTGAAGCCAATACTCATTTACCATTCCAAAAATCCTAGGGCCTTTAAGAATTATGCTAAATCTACTCTGCCTGTGCTCTATAAAATGAACAACAAAGCCTGGATGACAGCACATCTGTTTACAGCATGACTTACTGAATATTTTGAGCCCACTGTTGAGAACTACCTTTCAGAAAAAAAGATTCCTTTCAAAATATTACTGCTCATTGACAGTGCACATCTGGTCACCCAACAGCTCTGATGGAGATGTATGAGGAGACTAATGTTGTTTTCATGTCTGCTAACACAACATCCATTCTGTAGCCACGGATCAAGGAGTAATTTTGATTTTCAAGTCTTATTTATTTAAGAAATATATTTTGTAAGACTATAACTGCCATATAGATAGTGATTCTTCTGATGGATCTAGGGAAAATAAATTGAATATATTCTGGAAAGAATCCACCATCCTAGATGCCATTAAGAACATTTGTGATATATGGGAGGAGGTCAAAGTATCAACATTAACAGGAGTTCAGAAGAAGTTGATTCCAACCCTCATGACTCTGAGGGGTTTGAGACTTCTGTGGAGGAACTGCAAATGTGGCAGAAATAGCAAGAGAACTAGAATTAGAAGTGGAGTCTGAAGACATGACTGAATTGCTGCAATCTCAGAATAAAACTTGAAAAAATGAGCTGCTTCTTAAGGCTGAGCAAAGAAAGTGGTTTCTTAAGATGGAACCTACTCCTAGTGAAGATGCTGTAAACACTGTTGAAATGACAACAAAGGACTTAGAAATATCACATAAATTTAGTTGACAAAGCAGATGCAGTTTTGGAGAGGACTGACTCCAAATTTGAAAGAAGCTCTACTGTGGGTAAAATACTATCAAACAGCATCACATGCTCAGAGAAATCTTTCGTGAAAGGAAGTCAATCCGATGTGGCAAACTTCAATGTTGTCTTATTTTAAGAAATTGCCACAGCCACCCAGCCTTCAGCAACCACCTTCCTGATAAGTCAGTAGCCATCAACATGAAGGCAAGACCCTCCACCAGCAAAAAGATTAGAACTCACTGAAACTCAGATGATCTTTAGCATTTTTTAGCAATAAAGTATTTTTTAATGAGTATGTACATTATTTTTTTAGACAAAATGCTATGGCACACTTAATAGACTATCGTATAGTGTAAACACAAATTTTATACGCATTGGGAAACCAGAAAATTCGTGTGACTCGATTTATTCCAATATTTGCTTTATTGTGGTGGTCTGGAACCAAACCTACAATATCTCTGAGGTACGCCTGAACTATCCTACTTTAAGTTTTTACTAAACTTCTGTGTCCTAACACTTAAAATACAATAGAAATTTTTTAATTTTCTCACATTTTATTGCACAATACAAACTTGATTAAAAGGCACTAAGAAACAATATTCTGTGCTTAAATCAACACTAACAAAATATTTAGTAGGAGATAACACAATTTATTTAAATATATTCCAACTCAGCATGAAGGTGAGCAGTGTATTTCTGAAGTTTTAGATATTATAGCTATAGATTTTCATTGAACCAAACTACTTTTTTGGTCTCACTTTCTCTTCATTTTTGTTTCGTTTATTCTTCCTCTGGAGAAGTTCACAGTGTTAAAGAAGTGAAAAATAAGACTGATAGAAACCACTCTAAACATATGGCTTTATATACATAAAAGTTCAATAATGTTGCCACAACCCCTAATATAAGTGATCCTTATTTATTTACTATTATCCAGAATAAACTTCTATACATATTAAATTGTTCAAGTATATCTAGAGTAGTGCTTGTAAAAGTAAGGTCCCACTGCTAAATTAATGGGTACCTCTCTTTGAAGACCACTTCTAATTTCAACACAATTAAGGTAGAATTCTAACAATTTTTAAATTTTACAATGCATCATACATTCTTAAATATTCTAAAATGCTCAAATGAGCCAAACATATAATTTGATATACACAAGTTTAATAACCCTTTTGTACAGCACCAGAGGTTAAAAATGGATCTGACTAACCAAATGTTCTCTTTGTTTTATTAGTTACAGTTTATTATCATCAGTTTCTATAACACTGAACCCAAATTGAAAATGAAGACAACTTGGGTCAAATACTTTCACCTTAAATAAATAAACATTTGATCCGCTTCATACTTAAATACCCAATTGTTCTCCTATGGTGTATGTTTCTTGGCAACAGTCTTTCAATTAACTAAGCCAAAGATCAACTTCTCATCTTTGAGGACTAGGCAAGTCGGATAGGATTCTCTAGGTTTGCTTTAAAACTTTCTAGAAACCTGGTAGCCAGTTCATCATCGACCACTCGACTGTCACTTGACATTGTGACCGATATGAGCTGGTGCTGCTGCAGTTTGGCGTTCCCCTCTTCATCCTCTGTGAGCTTCAGCACAGGCCGGGATCTCCCAACAGCCAATATGCAGGCCTGGGGAGGGTTGATCACTGCAGTAAATTCATCAATCCCAAACATCCCCAAGTTGGAAATACTACGGGGAAGACAAAAAGATCTGAAGGTGACATGTCCTTAACCAAAATACCTTTTCCCTGAAGCATATATTTTTACTTTACAATTGAGTACACAGAAAAATCTCAGACTCTACAGATAAACTAGTAAAACTAGTAAGTGAATTTAGCTAAATCATCAGATTAAAAGGTCAATAAGAATTCATTTTATTTCTGTATGAGAGTACTTTAAAAAGTTCATGGAAAGATTCATATTACCTTTCAATTCTATTTTTCTATGAACCTTTTGAAGTACCCTCTTATACAAGTTGCTATGATTAGATAATTTAAAAACAATACAATCTATAATAGTATCAAAAAACAAATACCAACAACGAATAAGTCTAATGAAACATATATAGCATCTCTATACAGAAAATTACAAAACATAACTGAAAAAAAAATGAAAGAACTGTATAAATGATGGTTTTTACTATGTTTCATGACTAGGATACTCAATACTGTAAAAATGTCAATTCTCCTCAAACCAGTCAAAAGATTTAATTCAATCCCACTCAAAATTCCAGCAAAGTAGGGGGGTGTGTGTGTGTGTATAAAATGACAAACTGATTCTAAAATTCATTTGGAAATACTAAGAGCCAGAAAAGATAATCTTGAGGGTGAACAAAATTGGAAGGCTTTCACTACCGGGTACCAAGAGTTATAGCTTGGTGGTACTGAGTGAGAGATAGACAAACAGTCCAGTGGAAAATGAGAGCCAGACCAATACATAGTCACCTTCTCAATGCTATGAAGGAGAAGCCCTTTCAATAAATGATGCTCGGTCAATTTAATACCATTTGGGAATGCAAAAAAGGAAACAACTTCCACATCATACACAAAATCCAGCTGCAGATGGATTGTAATCTCCATGTGAAAAGTAAATTTATAACACTTCTAGATGATAACACTGAAGAATAACTTCATGATTCTGGGATAGGCAAAAATTCCTAACAAAAGACAAATACTACCAATGATAAAGAAAAATACTAATAAGTAGGAATTCATTAAATTCAGAACTTCTGTTCACTAAAAACATAACCAATAGAGTTCCAAAGGTAAGCCACAGAAGGGGAAAAGCATTTGAAATAATATGTATATATCCTACAAAGGTCTGTGTGTATCTGGAAATAATAACTCCTACAAATCATTTTAAAAAATGAATACAAGACTTCAATCAGAACTCTCTCTGATGAGTTACCAGATACCCAAATGGCTAAATGAAAAAGTATTCAACATCATTAATTTGCATTTCCCTGACCACAGAGTACCACTACACACCAAGAATCATTAAAATTTAAAACCTAACATTACTAAATATTGGCAAAACGTAGAGCAATAGGAGTTCTCATGCACTGTTGACGGACATATGAATTTGTATAACCATTTCGGAAAATTGTATGGCAGCATCTATCGAAACTTTAGGTCTATATGACAAAAATACGTACACATATATTCACTACAAGACACTAATAAGAATGTTCATAGCATGATTATTTGTAACAGCACCTATCTGGATAAAAAAAAAATGCTCATTGAGAGTAAAATAAACACTGGTATCCTTATACAACACTATAAACTGCAATAACGAATAAATGTCTGCTTTACACAGCAATATGGTGAATCCTAAAGATGTTAATGTTGAGCAAAAAGTCAGCCACTAAAGAATACATACGAGAACTGAAAGCTAATACGAACCTTTCCACAAACTTTCTGAAGTACTCTCATATAAAGATCAAAACGAGCAAAACAAATCTACGGTGATCATTTTCAGAATAGTGGTTACCTTTGTGGGAGTGGTGGTTAGGAAGGGTAAAGGGAGGCTTCTGGGATGCTGGTTATTTTCTATAACTTGCTTTGGGTGGTTACATAGGTTTCTTTACTTTGTAAAAACTTCAAGCTGCATTCAGTGCACTTTACCGTATCTAAGTTATACTTAAAAATAGACCTGATAAGGCTGGCCAGTTAGCTCAGTTCGTTGGAGCGCAGTGTTATAACACCAAGGTCAAGGGTTCAGATCCCTTTACCAGCCAGCCAATGACAAAGAATACAGGTAATAATAAATAAGTAAAAAAGAGGTCAAAGGTAGAAAGAAAATATAAGTTTAAAAGCCTATTGTGTTTATAAACTTATTTTAAAAAGTTAAAGTTTAAGAACCTAAATGCCATTCAATGCTGGTCAATGTTCATTCAAAAGAATGTCTATTTCAACACTAACAGGTTCTTACTAGCTTTGATATGAAAGCCTGACCACTGAATATCTTCACATACTCTATTGTCTAAAGTATTTGATATTTAGCTTAAAATTTTAAAATATTTTAGAGAAATAAATGAAACAGACTTAATAAGTCTTACATTTATCTGTTTGATGGTACTGATAATTAAGAGTTTAAATTTTACCTAAAAGATCCTCCTTGGTATTCTTCAGGTAACAATTTTCCATCTCTTGCTTTCTTTGATAGAGCCTGAGAAAAATACAAACCAAACATGACAACCAACAATATTATTATACAGCTGATCTTGTCACTTGAAATATTTGTACAGGGTACATTTTCATTTCCGATATGCTTTGATTTGACTTTATAAGACATTATATATGTAAGAATAATTTTCTCTAGTAAAATTATAAGAAAAGCTAGAGCACAGATAATCCAAGAAGCTAAAGACGTTAATTAAAAGTCTGGAAAAATCACTTCCCCTTAAGAGTTTTCAAAATACTGAAATTGCCTATGCACCATTACTATGCAGAATATTTCAGTGTTTTCTCTGTACACAATGCAATTTTCTATTGTGCTTATAAAAGCTTTTCTTGCTAAGATAAAATATTAGAAGAAACCATTCTTTTTAATCTAGTAGGTTTTAAGTAAATTAAAATTGCCAATGGCAATCGAAGGAGTGTACCCATAATTCCATTACCAACAAATCAGTTTTCATCTTTCAGCGTTTGCTTCGTCTTTATCCACAACATACATACAAACTCAAACAATGGTAAAAAATAGAATTTCATATTTCACGTCTCAATATTATTACATATATCTTCCGTGTTGTTAGTCTTTATAAATAATTTTTTAATGTCTGCTTAACATTCTAAAGAATGCATCACTATAACTCACTCAGTCATTTTATGAGTGTTATGATTTGGTTCTTCTAAATTATTTCAGATAAAGTTTCAGAAATAGAATTATGGTGCCCTAGAGAATGAACTTTTTTGGTTCTTGATCCTATAGCTGAAACATTTCCTGAAAGAGCTAGTCCAACTTATACTGTCACAAGGAATATAAGAATGTACTAGTTTCATATCACTCTTGACAATACTGATTTAAAAACTTACATGACAATGAGAGTGGCATTACAAAAAGTAGTTAAATTTTCCTCTCACTTGCACTTGTAATCAACCACACTTTTGTTAATCTTAATTTTTCAATGCTTCAAAAACAAGAAAAAAGAGGTTGAGTCATCTTAAATAAAAAAGTAATAATGGATTAATTTATGAGGAAAACGGCAGAAATAAATGAAGTCACTGTCACTTGGGTAGATGAAATAAATCTAGGGCTTACTTAATATTTTGTATTATATAGCCACCATAAGCACTATTACAACCACAGTTGATAACCAGGGGGTACTTCAAAAAGTTTGTAGAAAAACAGAATTAAAATACAATACAAATCTTTCCATGAACTTTTTGAAGTATTTAATTTTAAACCATGGGTAATTTAACTTGTGAAAACTAAAACATTCTTTAAAAATCGCAAAAATCTAAAAATGATTTTAACACATTACTGTGACTTACTGCCAATTGAAACAATTAAAATTTATACTATTTGGATATAGTTACTTATAAAACTATTTCGATCCAAACTGAGAAATTAAGAAATGAACTTTGACTTATATGAGGGTACTTCAAAAAGTTTCAATAGAATTTGAAGATAATATGAACTGTTCCATGAACTTTTTGAAGTATAGTCCTTGGAATATCAGAAGTAAACAATCTATAAATGTATTTTCCCTGCCTTAGGCAATATAATTGTTCATATGATTTGAACAGACACATATCATATGAACTCTGAAAGGCATTTTTTAAAGGCAGGTGATCTCAACATATCCTGATGATTTACTAGGCTAAAACAAACAAAAAATGAAAATTAATTTTAAGAACTAGATTGTAATCACATATACTATACTCAAAACAAAACAAAACAATCTCTGTTGATCCTAAATATATCAGCTGAATATTCCTGTCAATAAACTCCAATAAAAGTCTGGAATAAAGTATAAAGTCTAAGGAGAATTGTTCATTCTGAAAATTTGTAATTCTCACTGGGATCTCCTGGAAATGTGAACCTGAAACCAAAATACATGTAACCCAAAGCATCCAGCTGAAAGGATATAAGAAAAGATGACTAGCAAATATTTCTACAATATATCACATGCCTTGCTAATTCATTCAAATAAATTTCCTGGGTGCTTGAAGTAAACTTGGCCTCTGCCTTTCAGAACTATAATATTTAATAAAGAATTAAGAAAAGCATGAGATAAGGCTTGTTACTGTATTGCTTTATTCAGGAATACAAACTTGAACTTGGCTGGGCATGCCTTTAGCTCCACACAATGACATCCTTGGGATTACTGAGGATCAAGAAGTAAATATATAGTGCAGGTGTTCTTAACCTGGGGTCTGTGGATGGATTTGCAGGGACCCACAGGTCCTTGAAAAATTAATTTCAAGAAGATAGATTTTAGTGAAAATTCTTTCTTTCTTTCCTCCCCTCCATTCCTTCCCCTTCCCTTTTACCTTTCCTTTCCTTTCCTTCCTTCCTTAGTTTTTAGTGAAAATTTAAAAAATAAATCAATTTGTCAAGCAACTACTATATTCCAATCACTCTTCTAATATTGGATATATGGTGATGAACAAGACAGTCAACATCAGGAGGGAACACAGAAGGGTAATGAATAAATAAGCAAGGTAATTTCAAAGACTGATAAACCACCTGAAGACAATAAAATGGGGTAATGGGAAAGCATTAGGAAGCTACTTAAGCTATGGAAGCTACAAAAGGCCTAAGAAACTGGCATTTGAACTGAGAACTGAATGATGAAAAGCAGCCAGCCAAGTGACGATCAGGGAGAGGTGTGTGCTGGATGGTACGCTTTGCTAACAAAGATTCGGAGTTCAAGCTGTCCATGTTCTCTAATATACTCTGCTTTCTCTTCAGATCATATAAATCTTTCGCCTTTTACTAAGTTCAACATGTTCTCACAGTCCCCTCAAAAAGGCTGCTCCTGCCTCACCAGGTAGAGAGCGTCAGTCTCTTTGCTGCAGGTTCTCTTGTCCACTGCCTGTCTGCTAAGGCCACAACCTCACATTCCTGCTCTAATCTTCACTGCTTCTTTGGCAGACTTTCTTAACTCTTTTTGCCCCAGTCATGTATCTCAAATTCTGAATCAAAAGATTGGTCTTACAGACAGAGAATACCCAACAGTTGTATTCCTTTTCTTCTATGTAATGAATCAACTGATTATAGAGCATTTGGTATAATTGTTGAGTATTCAGCTATTCTCCACTTGATCATTTCTTCAAGTCCAAGAGCTGCTTCTCAAATATTTTTTTGAGAGGAAACCCTACTGGTTTTATAAGGATAATCATCTGACCACTATAATCATACCATAGTTTTGAAACTACTAAGTGAGATGCAGCAAAGCCTCATGATATAGTTGGGATATGTTTATCCTCCAAAGCCTGTTGAAATCTGATCCCCAATGTGGCAGTGTCAGGAGGTGTCTGTGTCATGGGGACAGAACCCTTAAGATTAGATTAATGCTCTCCTGTGGGGAGTAGAGAGGGAGAGGGAGGGTAGTGAGTGAGTTCTAGCTCTATTAGTTCCTGCAAGAGCTGGTGGTTAAAAGGAGCCTGGCACCTCCCCTCCCTCTTTCTCTTGCTTCCTCTTGCCATGTGATCTCCTTGCACCTGGCAGCTGCTTGTCAGAAGTAGAAGCAGCATGAGGCCCGTGCCAGATGCAGCTGTTCCAGAATCGTGAGCCAAATACTCCTCTTTCTTTATAAATTACCCAGTCTCAGGTATTCTGTTACAGCAAACCAAAAACGGACTAATACACCTAGTGATTGGGAACACAGGCTCTAGTCTACAATTTAATTTACTATGTTCAAATGCTGACTCCACCACTTACTAGGTGTAAGATCTTACGCAAATTATTTAACCTCTTTAATTTTTCCTCATCAGTTTCTCCCTCAACTTGATCAAATTATCTTGTACTTTATAGGGTGGTTGTAAAGATGATTAAAAGAGTTAGTATATATAAAAGGCTACAACAAAGGTTGGCAAATAATATGCCACCTGCTGTTATTGTTATAGCTGTTATAATTGTTAATTGTACAATACCTTTAAAATACTTAAAAACAAGAGGATTACAAATACCATACCATATTCTTATATAAATTAGCCATATTATTCTACCTAGTCTGGAGCAGATTTTTACTCCTAGAATTAAAACCACTTTAAATTTTATCTGTTCAAATATATAAACATCACATTTTTTTTTTCCTTTTTGTCTTTTTTCGTGTCCGGCAACGGATCGCAACCCTCAGTGTTGCCCCCGTACCGGACCGGGGACCGGCAACGGGATTGCAACCCTCGGTGCTGCGCCGCACCTCGCTCAGCCAGTGAGCGGCCGGTCCGTATGTGGGATCCGAACCCTCGGCGGGAGCGCCATCGCGCGCTCCCAAGCGGCGCACTGTAGCAGTGCGCCACCGGGCTGGCCCTAAACATCACATTTTTTTTTTCCTTTTTGTCTTTTTTCGTGTCCGGCAACCGATCGCAACCCTCAGTGTCGCACTCGTACCGGACCGGGACCGGCAACGGGATTGCAACCCTCGGTGCTGCGCCGCACCTCGCTCAGCCAGTGAGCGGCCGGTCTGTATGTGGGATCCGAACCCTCGGCGGGAGCGCCATCGCGCGCTCCCAAGCGGCGCACTGTAGCAGTGCGCCACCGGGCTGGCCCTAAACATCACATTTTTAAATAAGCCAAACTGCAAAGCTTGATGTAGAAATACTGACAAGATTCAAATTGTATAAAAATGGTACTCTTCCACAAATGGAACATTTATTGTCTACCTTTTCGGGGAGTGGGGGTCGATACATAACAACATTAAAGCATAGGAGAGCGAATATATTTACTACCAAAAGAAGACCCACAACTATACCTGGATACCAAGGGAGATGCTGTTTCTTTTGCACACAACATTCCAATAAAACCTTGTTTGTTTGAATTGAGTCAAAATCTACTGGATACTCAGGGTTTCTTAATTGGTACATAAATATGTTTAATGCCTGCTAGTGCACAACAGCTAAATGAACATTATCTTCACAAAGAATATCTAAAATATATAGTTTCTAAGCCATAGCTAAAAAATGAGACAAACAATACGACCTAAGATTTAACATTTTTAAAAATTGCTCTCACATATTCTAAACCACTTCACCAAGAAACTAATTTAGCAGGAACTCAGAGATATCTCTTTCTTTCTGTCTGTCAGTCTGTCTTTCTCTCTCGTACACAGACGCTTCTGGAAATTAGAGAACTACTATGTTGAATAGGCCATGCAAGGTGCCTGCTTCTCATGAGAAGCCTCGGTGTGCTTCCATGCCCTTTTAGAACCAAAGACGAATAGAACCAAAGATGGTTATATTCATAAAGGTTGTTATGCTTGGTACCACATGACCCACTGACCTGGCATGGAAGACCTGCCCAGCAAGAGTAATTCATACAAGAATAAACTTGGTGAACCAAATCAAATCTTCCTGTTCAGTAACTAAGAGGGAGAGAAAGACAAAGGGATGGTAAAGAAGTAGAGAATTAGACAGAAAAATAAAATAAAATCCTCACTTCCACTGCTTTCTAGCCCTATCACCGTGGGCAAATTTCTTTTTTTTTTTTTTTTTTTGTTTTTTGTTTTTTTCCGTGTCCGGCAACGGATCGCAACCCTCAGTGTTGCCCCCGTACCGGACCGGGGACCGGCAACGGGATCGCAACCCTCGGTGTTGCTCCCGCGCCTCACTCAGCCAATGAGCGGGAACCGGTCTGTATGTGGGATCCGAACCCTCGGGCGGGAGCGCCGCCGCGCTTCCCAAGCCGTGCACTTATCCAGTGCGCCACCGGGCCGGCCAAATTTCTTAAAGTTAGTAAAACTCAGTGTCCTCAGATTCAAAATGGGGAAGATAAGGTTCCAACTATAATACTGGCTTAATAAGATTAAATGAAGTGCTAAGCCCAGTGTCTGGCACGTCATAAGATTAAGAGTGGAGTGCTGATCCTAGATGGCAGGGTAGGAGAGAGAAGGTAGAATGAGAAGGAACACAGGAGCAGCCAAAGCCCAGCAAACCTTAAGAGTTACAAGAAATGCTTAAGGACTACCAGAGACTGTTACATTCCAAAGGGTTATGAGTGTCCTTCTTCCCACTGCCATGAGGCCCAGCTGAAAGGCTGCTGAGACTGCCTCCTTACCTCTTAAACTTAGGTTCTTCCAGCATGGAAGGAGTAGAGAATGTGAACATAGCTACTTTAAAAATTACGTATTTCAGTAGTAAAATTGGTAAATGGCTGCGAATCAAAGAAACTTTCCTATGATGGTTAATTTAAAAAAACTTAATGTACACAAAAATAAGGAAATTTCAGCTCTACAGTTAAGTTCAATAACATTTACGTAGTACTTTAAAATTTACAGGTTATCAACACAATCTCATTTGACCTCACAAAAACACTGAAACACATATACTCATTGCCGCTTAAAAACCTTGATGAACATAAAAAGCATGTACTATATTTCAGTAAACCAATCTCTAATACTTTGACTTTGGAATTGGCCAAATTAATACATTTCAATTAAGAAAAACAGTTGCATTTTTGTCAATACAAACACACTCTGCAATCTTCTCAAAGAGGAGTAAAGAAAACCTAAATGTCAATTCCACCAGGTTCACCTTTACTTACATTTCACTCTAAAATTTCAAGAAACTCACCCCTATGGGTGTTTTTAAAACCGAATTAACTTGCATCCATTTCTGTATTTGGGCAAGTAGGTCTATGCATTTACATATTGTCAACTCCACAAAAAAGTCTTATCTTCTACTTTTTACCACTGTATAACATAGCTTGTCCTACCACTATACATATAACAGGTCCATGGTAAACGGAAAAGGCAAGAATCACTTACCCCAATAAATCTGAAATTTTCAATGCAAACACGTCAAAGGCCTGTGATACTTCTGCCAAAAACTACCAATGGAAATTACTGAGACTTTAAAAGCTGACCTACTACTGCCTATGTGCCTGCCTAGTCAATGTGTTATTTTTTGGTGAAATCGGATACTTCCATATTGGGCCTACAAAAACTGCTTTTCAAGAAATTCAGAAACAATAAAGAAGCTTTGTTTCTGGAATGCTAAGTACTTTTAGTGGTCTCAATTTTAGACAAGAAATGAATAAAAAGAACTTTCTTTTAAGAATAAAATGTTAAAACTGAGGTATATCCATTACCATTTCCATAGAAATATAGTTACAGCTTTACTTCGACTTTAAAATCTATTTGAAATAGCATCTTTACAGTTGAATTCTGAACTTTGGCAAATAAAGATTTTGTCTGTAACTTGAGTGAAGTTGGACCCTAATTTATCTATATGTTATTTTTGAACAATACATTTTCTTAAAATGGGTCATACCTGGATAAACACTTAAAAACCTAATGTATGACAATCACTTGAAATGCTCCCACTCACAAAAAAAATCAGTGTGATCAGATCATTTCAAGTTTTTATCAGAAAGTAATTATCCAAAAGTATAGTCTAACATTTTGAAAGCATAGTAAACGTTAAGACATACCTTTACAGAGTCGGCAATTTCCTTTATGCCCTTAGCAGCAGCATCTTTTATAATCGGTGTAATTAAACCTTTATCTGTTGCCACAGCCACTGAAATGTCAATAAAGGGTAGTTGCTTTGGGCCCTCCCCATCCCAGCTTACATTAACATCTGGCATTTGCTAGAAATAGAAAAAAACATATGATTAAGGAAGCAGCTTTAGACCAAGGTGGTTACAGAAAAAAACTAATATTGTTATACATTTTCCAAAGTGAATATAGCTAGACAGAAGGAAATAAATAAAAACTCAGTTTGAACAAAAGGTTTGGATCTCTGTGTTAAATATCTTTTATGTTTGGGAAGAATAATCAAACATACCATCTTTTTGAAGGAAGCTTGAGGACATTCTGATGATGTACATCTTTTGATCTCTTTTTATATCACAGTTTAAAAAAAGGGCTTCTTTTGTTAAACCTGATTGCTAGAAGGTATTTAATGTTTGTTATACTTCCTGCCTCATATGATGACCAACATGACCCAAGGAGAAGGAGGAAGCAGAACAGGTTACTGATAATCAACCACATTATTCCTCTGGCATGAACAAAGCCTGACTTTCTAGCACAGCCTTGGGATACAGATGAGTATTAGCAGGCCCTCAGTAAATGACTTCCCTACTGAAGAGAGATTTCCTAAGCTTCATAAACATGTGACATATACTATATATGAGCATGTATACATTTAACATACAAACTACACTAAGCATGAAAAGAACAGATGAAATGACTAAATACCTGTAAACACTATGTATTGATAACGTTGCCAAATATCACCGGAGAAAATGATGCTGAAAAACGAATCAAAAAATAATTTTGCTCCTCAAAAACTCTTTGCTTTCTACAGATCAAGATCTAAGCCTCCTAGCATGTCACTTAAGCATGAGAATCCACACCTGGATTCCACTCTACCTGTCTAATTTTACTGTGACCACTCCCCTAAGATGAATTTTCCACTTTACTCAGGCATCTTAAGGTCATGCTCATTTCTATTTCAAGACCACCTTCACATCACTTTCCAATAGCTCTTTCCATTCTCCTTCTTTCAAGGCTCAGCTTGTTCATTCATGCAAAAACGTCACTATGTCAAAAGAATAAAAAACAAAGTCCCAACACCTCAGATTTTAAATTCTTCACAGAAAACACTAAAGCAAAAGAGGAAAATAAAATACCCACAAAAACAAAAAACACAAAAACCTCACAAATGAAGAATATCTGCAAATAAATTTCATTAGAAAACTATGTAACAAAACCCTACAGGACATGGTCTACGGTGTATTCAATGGAAAATTCATAATCTTAAACCTTCTTATTAATAAAAAAAAATTAAAATGAATTACACATTCAAGTTTTCTAACCAAATATTTATAACCAAAATGAATCTAAAAAAATGAAGGGGGAAATACAAAATAAAACAATATAAACCGAGAACACAAATATGCATTACAGAAGCAAGACATTCTTTTAATGTCCCAGGCACGGAGAACATTAAGAGAATTTTAAGAAACAGACTTAAATGACTCTAGGCTGATAAGTTTGGGAATCCAGATAAAATGAGTGATGTTCTGGAAAAACATAAGCTTCCAAAGTTGATTCAAGAAAAGGTTGAAAATTAATCAGATCAATTATTATGGGGGGAAAAATGAGAAACTTGCCAAAATCTCTTCCTCAAAATACAACTAAGTTCAGATACTTTTACTGGTGAATTCTAAAAAATTCAAGAAATAATAATAGTTATAATATTGAAACAGACACAGAGAAAGGAAAAGAAAAAAGATTCCAAATTTATTTAATGAAGCCAATGATTAAAGGAAAAAAGTCCTGATAAAGCAAGCACAAAATTCAAATTATAGTTACTTACAGCTCCTGATAGAAAATTACGCAATGAAAAATTAACAAAGAGCTCGTGACCACTAGAGTTCATTTAAGGAGTGCAAAAATGATTCACAATTAGAAAATCAAGAATACAATTAAAAATATTTGGTCAAAAGAAAAAAATCCATATAAACCATTAGGTACATGCTGGAAAAGGCATAACTTTAAAGTTCTCCATTATTGTATTTTTTAAGAAATAAAAATAAATTCATTATAAATGTACTTTAAATATACTATTTAAGCAGTGATCTCAGAAAATTGCCTCATTACAGAAAGAAGGCATGATAGAAAATGGTGCTGAGCAGGAAGGCAGGAAGGCATGAAGCCTGGGTTCTAGACCTACATCTCCAGCCTGACACCTCCACTGATCTGCAGACTCAGATGTTCACCTGCCTTCCTGTCACCTCCACTGGGACATCTATTAGGCTCCTCAAACTCAACATGCTAAAACCAAACTCTAGATTCCCTACCTCAAACCTGCTCCTCTCCCAGTTCTACTAATCTTAGTACATGGAAAATCTCATTCCTACCATTGCTTGGGCCAAAATCCTTATTCGTCTCTCTCATACCTCACATCCACATCAGCAAATCCCTGCCTCTACTTTCGAAATGTAGCCAAAATCTCTGCTTCACTCCAGCTCCACTGCTACCACCTTAGTCCAAGCCACTGTGACCTTCTCCAGCCTCCTAAGAGAGCTCACTACTTCCACCCTTGCCTCCCTCCAGGCTATATCCACACACAGCAGCAGAGAGGTCTCTCCTTTTCCTTTTTAAAAGTGTAAGCCAGATATCATTAGTCTTTTGCTCGAAACCATCCAGAGGCCTTCTCATTCATAATAAAATCCCTAGTCCTCACCAAGACCAACAAGGCGTCATGTACTTTGGTCCCCATTCAACTCGTCCCCTTTTTTAAAAAAAAAAAAAAATTCATCTCCTACCCCTTCCACTCTTCCTAACTCTACTCCAGGCAGACTGGACCCTTGGTAGATGTCTTTGGCTAACACCATCTACTCCTCACAGTCTTTGTGTTTGCTGGTTGCTCTGTCTGGATTGCTCTTCTACCAGAGAGCTGTCTGGTTTACTCCCTCTCTTTTTTCAGGCCATGTCTCAATTACCATCTTGCCAGAGAGGCCTTCCTGGCTTCACTTTTGGAAGAGGCACCTCTGGTTATTTTGTCCTCTTACCCTCCTTTCTTTTTCTCCTCAGCACTTCACCATCTCACATATGTTTGTTTTACTCCCCAACTAGACTATAAGCCCCATGGAGAGCAGAAATTATGCAGGTTTTTGTTTACTGCTATATATTTAATGCCTAGAATGTATTTAGCAAAAGATATGGGATCAATTATGTTTTTTATACTGCTATGATTAGTTGTGAACCCTTTTGATTTTCAGTTTCTTCATCTGCAAAACAAGGGAGTAAGATTAAATAATAGGGTAATTTTAGCAATAAAATTATACAATTTTTGTGACTTAAGAGTTCTATTTATCATTATAAAAGTCCCAAGACGTAAAGCTACTTTAAGAAAACAAAATTATTTGGTGTTTGCTACTTACTTTAAGGGTAACAGCTGCTGCCTTGATGATAAAATCATTTACTGATACTTTAATGTCATCTAAAAGAAAAACAAGCACATTAAAATTAGTATTCATAATATAACTTTAACATTGACCATTATGATTTCAAACTTGCAAATTATGGAATGCGCTGACAATGACAAAAGAAAATTATAGGTTTTTGTTTGCTTAGTCAGTAAGGTTCCCCTGATTAGAAAACTTTGCATTATATGAGGTCCTGGGTAAATAATATTAAACATGAATGTAAAAGTTTACTTCTGGGCCTTGATTACAATTTTTAAAAATTACTCAGGTACCATACATGTGAACTTGAAGGATATATTACAAGCATAACCAAAAAGAAAACCAACCCTTATGTCTCTAAAAAAAACAAATGGTCTCTCTGTGTTGCGTGTAGCCAGAAAATTTACATGATTCATTTTTTTCCTCAACCTTTTCAAATACCCTTATTCTGTGAATGCTTTGTAATATATTGATTATATTAGAACAGTGGTACACATAGGAACTTTAAATAAACAATTACGTATATGGAGGTGTATTCTTTTTACTAATAGAGTGTACACTGAAAAAATCTTAGATCAGGGAATTAAACAAGAGCTGCTATTTAACATAACAAAACAGGATATAGCAAATGCCAGAGATGAAGCAATACTGGTGTAGGTCCTAGTGCAATGAATAAAATGAGGTTTTCTGTCTGCTTTTATGGTGAATCCATTTGAATCTATTTCCTTCCAATATACATAATGATTTTAAGATAAAGCTGGGGTCCCCTCCCTTCCCACAGAACAGATCATAACTAAAGCTTTTGATTTATACTTTTGCTTTTGCCAATGGGTATGAAAGTGTCAGGAAATGTAACTACACTTGATTCTTTCTTGCAAGAGCTTCTAGAAAATTATTTGAAGATCAAGATCTCTTCAATGGTATGTGGCAAGAAACACACATCCTGTTACTACAGTATCATGGAATTTTATGTGAATAATAGCTCATTCCAAAGGCATGCAGTCGACTTCAGATGGAGATTAGATGAATTACCATAAACCTAAATACAGCCAAACTGTCATGGTAACTGTCAGCTGCACAGTATCATAGCTCTTCTAATTCAGATTTCCAGAAATATATAAACATTGTTTTTTGTTTAAACCTCTTTAGGAGTAGAAATATACATGGATTTCCAATGCTCAGAGAATTAATGATAACCACATAAAAAAAGAGTTAGTCTGCACAAATTCAAATATGTACATACAATATTTTATGAACTCATTCTGCTTGCCTCTCATGGCTCCCTTAGCCTCATTCTTATTTTATCTACTATCCATAGCTATCCATGAAGACTTCCAAAACCACCTACCAGCTTATGACCCCCAAGACTATGGATAAGTCCACAGTCTTCACCTAAAATTCTGTCTTTATCACACTCCAACACTGAGAAGCATTCTCAAGTTCCACTTTCTGCATCTTGAGACACTTTCTCATACTGGCTCCTATGTTACCATACTCTCCTTGGTTTTCTTTCACTCTCTGTCCACTCACTCATTTTTAGTCCCTTCCCCTCAATGTTGGCATTTCCCCACGCAGGAACTTTCAGTTCCATGATTTTGAAGCCATTTAAATAATGGTCCAAATTCTACCTCTAATCCAAATGTATTTGGAGCTTCAGACTTGTCAACTTCTTATATGACTGGCTAATATGCATCTCAAATCTAACATGTGTAAAGGAGATTTAAAATTACTTTAACTCTTTATTATGAAAATTTTCAAACATATTGAAAGGAGATGTTAATGATATTTATTGAGTAGGATATAATTTGTAAGGGAAAATCAAACATTCTCATTTGTGTATTAAGTTACAAAAGCAAAGTGTAGAACGTGCTTATAAAATGTTACATATTATCACCTTACATAAGAAAGAGGAGTGAAAACAGATAGACAATGTTGGCTCTCTGAAGAGTCATGAGAAAACTCCTAATTATAGGGACATATTACACCTGGACCATGCAAAGATACTAAACTAATCCACATTGCTATTAAAATAATACTGAGAAAACAGGAAAATTACTCCCATATTAACCTCTACATCATAACTAAGCAAGTATAATGTTAGACTTATAAGGGTTAATGTTTTGAAAATTTACCACTTTCTCTGGAATAGCCTTCTACTAGGTTCCTTGAACTTTCAAAAGCTGTCAAGTTGTTTTTATATGAAATCTTAAAGTCCTTATATAAACTGATTTATCAGTCCTGCTTTTACTTAAGATGTAGAAAACTGCAAAAGAAAGTTGTTCTTGCTCTACCAGAGTGGGAGAAAAGCAGAGTAAACTATAAAGTCAGCTTTTTTTGAGCCCATTAGGGAGATGAGGTTACAAAGCAAACAGGCAAACTGAATGCCCAAGGGTGATAATGTGTGCAGAGGAGAGACAAACACAGGAATTGATTACCCACTGTCAGGGAATGGGAATGAAGAGGACAGAGTACGGTCAACTTGCTTGAACAGATGGGGACTATCAGCAGAGAGATGGAAACTATAAAACACATTTAAATGGAAATCCAGGGAGAAAGTCCCATGCTAACAAAGATAAAAAATATTTTTGTCAAGCTTCACAGACTAAACACAACAGAGAAAAGAATCAGTGAACTTGAAACTAGGTCAACAAAAACTGTCCAAACTGAAACACAAAGGGAAAAAAAGGTGAACAAAAAAGAATACAGAATCTAAGGGCTTTAAACAATTCAGTCTAACATTTATAATTGGAGTCCCAAGGAGAGAACACATGAAGCAGATGATATAGTTAAAAATAACAGCTGGGAAGTTTTCAAAAGACAGACAACAAACCTACGAAGCTGAGAGAAACCCAAATAGGAAAAATAGGACAGGAAACAAAACACCAAAAACACCTGGACATATAACAGTCAAATTGCTAATGGAGAAAATGTTGAAGGCATCCAGAGAGAGGGAAAATCTTCATACACATGGGAACAATATTAAGAATGGCAGCAGACATACTGTAAGCCAGAAGATAATGGAATGATATTTTTATTTAAGGTACTGAAACAAAAACTTTGTTAAATCAAAATTCTACACCCAGCACAAATATATTTCAAAAATGAAGAAGATTAACACCTATTAGGATAGCTACTATCAAAAAAACAAAATAACAAACGTTAGCAAGAATATGGAGAAATTGGAACCTTTGTGCGCTGCTGATGGGAATGTAAAATGGTGTAGTCACTGTAGAAAACAGCATGGCAATTCCTCAAAAGACTAAAATAGAATTACCATATCATCCCGCAATTCCAAAGCTGTCTCTCAGCAACCTTATTTTTAATAGATTTTTGGGAGAAACATTACAAATTTAGTAACCTGGAAATTCATTTTGAAGAAAAAATATAAAATTACAACTTGAAGAAAGAAGAGTGATATCTAAAATATATTTACAATTTAAATCATCTTTAAATCAGTTTGGAATATTAATCTCGCTAAAATGGTAAGGACTGCTTTGTTTGGATATCATACCAAAAAGTATTTTCTAAAAACACCACTTAGCCTAAGCAAATCATTCATATGTCCTTATAAAAAAATTTGCATATGTGAAAGTTAAAGCAAACCAGAAAATTAAGCCTACTTTTTATTTAAAAAACAAACAAAAAACAACCAACCAACCAAACCATAGTATTATTTGTAGAGCTCACTGCGTGACTGAGTTGGACTCGATAACTGCCTGCTGAGTAAATGTCAACCAAAAGTACATTACTCAAATATGACAAAAGGGGAATAAAAGCAAGGTAGAACAGAATCCCTTATTCTACATAAAGGTAATCCATCCATAATTTATTCAATAGGATAAAACCAATTTGTTTCTTATAGGAAAACAACCAGTTCTTTACTCCAGCACAAAATACACCCAGAGTAGAGTGCAAGTGGATTATAAAATTGAAATAAAAAGTTATACACAATGTGAATCTTATATATACATTATTTCACGATAGTTTAAGTTAGCATGTGTATCGTATTAAGAACATTCAACTTTACTAACCTCTGACCAGATCTTGTCTAACTTTTAATACAGCTCCAAGGTTACAGTCAGCAGTAGCATATGCATGAGGTATAGTACTTTTAGATTCAGTTAACCTCTTGGCAATAACTCTTCGGATATTGCTAGCAGGGATTTCAGTAAAGGTGCCCTGCAAAAAAATAGTAACCTGTCCATTAAACCATAAGGAGAATGGGAAAAAATAAAACAGAAAACAACTTCATAACTGAAATTCATTCTCAGTGACTTATGATATTAATTGAAGACTAATACAGAAAAAGTACTCTTAAAAATTCTTAGTATAAGGGAGGAAGATGAAAAATCTGAGGAGTTTAAGCTTTATAGTATATGACTGAAGGAAAAAAAGTGGTAAAATTCATCTTTCAGTTGTGAATGGGACATCTTATATTACTATGTTTAAGATGATTAAAAAGAAATCTACCACATTAAAAATAATTCCCTCATGGGTATGTGTATACTATGTATGCATACTATATACACGTTATACACACACACACACACACAGATACTATATACTGTGTGTATGAATGTGTGTATACATACATACATATATATATATATATATATATAGAGAGAGAGAGAGAGAGAGAGAGAGAGAGAGGACAGACATTTATATATACTGTATGTACCACCTGTAAGCAGCATTTTTTTTTTTTTTTAACAAACATCACTCAATAAAACTCAAAGCAACCTATATATCAAAAAACCAACTACAGGCAATTCTTATTAAGATGGTATATGGTAGGGCCATAATAATCTAATACATTGTATATTGACAAAATAAAAATTTAACGAAAAAAATAAAAAAGATGGTATATGGTAGAAAAAGATAATCCAATATACTGGATAAACTGCCAAATCATTTCTATTTTGATTTATAATTAAAAAAAAAATCACACGAGTATCTTATTTCCTAGGAATTAATAACAGAAAGTATAATGAGATAATAACATCTTCCTGTAATGTCACTGTAGCTTTTCCATTCTGTTCCTTGAACCTCTCATGAAAGCATGACAGACTTTAAATTACGTCTAATTTCCTTCCTTGTCCTTCACTCCATTCTGGGACTTGATTATAATCACTTCAGGATAATACACAACAGCCAAAAGTACAGCTGCTGATTTGTTTTTTACAAATACTCTGTTAAGGAATTAAATATTTTATGTTAACAAAGTACTTTATCAAATAGAATAAATGTTCTCTACATACCATAAGAATTTGAAAGTAAGGTTTACCTTCCTAATTTGAATAACCTACTCTTTAAAGAAATAAGATTGGACTACACATACAGTTTTTGTGTATGTAATCATGAAACATTAATGCACATTAAAAAATCTGTTTCCTATCAAACTTGTACTGTTTCAACTCTTTAAAAATATTACATTGGAATATACTTCTCCATTAGAAAGACCAGTATAGGTATATTTATTTATTTTTATTTTTACTTTTTTAAGTGCACATTAAATTTTAAATAAACCTGATTATTCCACATTTCTTCTGATGGGAAACAAATGACATGAAAGTTACTAGAAAAAAGAGACAGAGAGGCAAAATGGAGTAATTTGAAAACAAAAAAAGGCTACTATACTGCGTGTATTTGAGAAGGAAAGAATGACTAGCTCTATCATCTACATAGCTCTTTGTAGTGAGACTATCACTTCCCTAGGTGAAAAATAAAACATATCCACAAAAGAGAACGAGTGTCAGCTACCAATTATTAGTATGAAGCTCGAGAAAAACAAAGATGTGAAAAGTATAATTATAGAGTATACATATGGTACTAAAGTTGTGGAACTTGTGCCAATTTAAATTGAGTCATAGTTCTAATGTTTCATTTGGAAGTTAGTGCTTTACAAACAAATTTAGTTACTGCTGGAAATCTGCAAAACAAAGAAATCTGGAATGTTTTTATCACTTTTGGCTATTACTAAGATGGACTGGTAAAAGTACTGGTAAAACATACAGTAATTCTTATTTTCTCTCACACTTACATCTGAAAAATATAAATCTATTCAGAGGGCATTACCACTGCATTTGGTTGTCCAGGAGTTGATACCGGTGGGATCATTGGCCGAGGATAAGATGGCCCAGCTGTGGCCTGTGGGGGCAAAGGTGCTGTGGCCTGTGGGGGCAAAGGTGCTGTGGGAGTGGCTGAAGGGGCTGGGGTCAGTCTGGACTCAGTGATCCTGCCCATTTGTTTCAACTGTACCAGTTTGAGAGCATCCCTAGAGGTAAGATAGAGTTAAATAACAATGATTAGCAACAAAAAATATAAGAAAACTATCAGAAACTGAAGGGGAGATGTGAAGGGAGATATATAGATATATACAGATGTGAAGGCTATAATTCAAAGTGATTTGAGCTAGAAAATTAAGTCCCGTCTCTTACATGGTCTGCTGATTCATCTTATTTGTCCAATGGCTATGATATCTGTACATATTCAAAAATCAAACAATAATTAGAATTTTATCAAGGTATTGGGTATACATAGTAATTTTTAAAAAGGAAATTAGTCTTTTTTCTGGGGAATGGATGTCACTTGGTAGATGATCAATTTATTAATTAAACTATACCCTCATTCTTTATACTCACGAAATAATTTTCACATAGCATTCAGAAAGTGATCAGCTTTCATCAGGATATTTACTAAATTATTGTTTATTCTAGTACAAATCAGCTTCTTTATGGCCAGGAAATCATGCCATTTTTAATTTTGCTCAATATGCTATCAGTACAACCTAATGCAAATCTAACCCACAGCATCATTTAGAATGAAAAATAAACTAGGTACAAACTTGCCTTTGTATTACTCTGTACATTTTTTTAATTTAATTTTTTTAAAAATTGTTTTTAAAAGGATGTAGACTACTAAATATACCAAGCCCTCAATTCATGATGCTAAGTGACAGTGGGTATAAAGGAATATATGTTCTTAAAATGACTTTTAGAAAATTTTAATACCTAACAATTAATTCAGAAGTACTTTTTCCAATTAAAACAATTGTTTTACATAACCTAAAAACAACTTCGAGGTTATACAAATCAAAGACAAATTATTTCTCAAACACAGTTAATATTTAGACATTGCTTCTCGAAAGAACTGGTAAAAAAGAAAACAAAAAAACCCCATCTATTGAGCATATGTGAGATGACAATTATCCTTCCCCAAACAAAATCTTTTACTATTATGGTAACATGGTAGGTAGAATTTTGAAATGGCCCCAACATTCCTGTTCCTGGTATAGACACCCTGTATAATCCCTCTTGAGAGTGGGTGGGTCTGTGAACAAGATGGATGTCATTCTTATGATTAGGTTATATTACATGACAAAGTTCATGAGATTTTATGAATGTAAGGTCCCAAATCAGTTTACTTTGACTTAATCAAAAGTCAGATTATCCTGGAGGGGCCAGACGTACCATGTAATCCCTGAAAGAAGAGATTTGAATTGAGGGAGATTCAGCTGTTGCCCTTCCAGAAGCAAACAGGCATGCTGAGAAGTGCCTATGGAGAAGACACATGGCAAGGACCTGAAGGCGGCCTCTAGAACTTGAAAGCAGTCCTGGCTGATAGTTAGCAAGGAAACGGGCCACAGCTCCAAGGAACTGAAGTCTGCCAACAACCAAATGATACCGGAAGAGGATCCCAGGTTTCATATGATACCAGCCTTAGCCAATACCCTGATTTCAACCTTGTGAGACCATGAGCTGAGAACTTGGCCATGTTGTCCTACAGAACTGTTAGGTTCATTTTTTTTTTAGAAAAGAGGGCCTATGCTTTATATCAGAGACAGAAAGGGGTGTATGAACTTAACTATAAATACAACTAACTTAATTGTTTCTAAATTAAAGAACTATTTTACAAAAAAAGGTCATATTGACAAGGAGATCTATAATGCTGTATCATCTTGGATTCCTAGGTACTAAAAGATGGGGTGAAAGTGGAAAAAATGAGCCTATTAGTCAAGTAAGTACTTATGTCATGTAACCTTACACTAGCTGTGTAAGAGGTATTATTACTCTCAATTTATGGATGAGTAAATGGCTCAAAAAGGTTTAAATTCCATGTTTAGTCAGTATTTCTTAAGTATCTACTCTATTCCAGGTATTGGGAATACAATGTTAAACAAGACACTTTCCATCAAGGATTTCTATTCTACAGAGGGAGCCATAAATTAATTAAGTAAACAAATTACGATAGTGATGTGCTGTGAAGAAAATAAAGTAAGAGTAATGAGATAGGGAGAGATGGATGGAGAGGAGCAGTTATTTTAAAACAGGATGGTCAAGGAAGGCATGAGCAGTTAATATTTGTGCACAATGATGTAAAGGCAGGAAAAATGTGTCTTTTAGGAACAGAAGGAAGGCCAGTATGGAAGTAGTGAAATGAACCAGGAGGGGAGAGTTAAAGCAGGAGAGGTAGGCAGCTAACAAGTGCCACGTCCAGGATCAAACCCAGGCATGGCCCACTCCAAAGCCTATGCATTTTCTACTGCTTTTCTAATACCTATGCACATACTATGCAAATTAAATATAAACTAAGGTGGGGTCAGAATAATTTTTTCTCATAAGAATAGAATAAAATATCTTAGATTTACAGCAATCCTGGGATTGAACGAAGAAATGGGATCTATCTGATCTAAAGCTAAAAGTAGGATTTCCTAACAAAGGCCTTTTACCCACCATACAAAAAGTAACAGGAGGCAATGCTGGTTCTCACAATATGGTGATGTTGACAGCAAAACAGAGGGAGTGGATGAGGTATGTGTCATAGGAAATGATCTTGTGTATTGTTAAGGCTTTTGACAAGCTTACTTCGGTTTGGAAATTAATTTTTAATCTATTTATGATATTTATAACCAAAAGCACCATTTTCTGTGTAATTGTGATTTCATCTACACATAACTTATTAGTAAATGACTACAATCTCTGCTAACATATGTCATGAGCCAAAATCCTAACCAGACAGAAAAGAGTGTGAGCACTGATACAAAATGAGGCTTTCTGGTGATTTCAGAAAAATGTCTTCAACACAAGAAATTTAGAGCTTTTAAGAGCTCTTATAAATCACAGACCAACATTACCAGTCCCTTTCCATTTTATGTAAGGTGATTAAATACATCTTCCTAATAAAATCTATTATCAATCTGGATTTTAACATTTAGCATCAGAGCAGCAAATCTAAAACACGCTGATATCCTTATATCACTAGTTTACTCTCAGTCATTGGTCAAAAACAAAAATGAACAGAGATACTAGAAAAATCTATATTGTTAATGTCTGAATACATCTGTTTTTAAAAAAGGTTGATGACACTAAATAGATACATTTTAATCTCAAGATCAACATAATTATTACTTATTATTTTATTAAGAAAAATACAGTTTAGTTTTATCCATACAGTAATTATGATTCTCAGGTAAAATGGCACTTGGTGAAGAATAAAAGTTAAAAGGGTCATTAATCATAAGCGAGCCAGCAGAAAATCAATTCTGGCTATTAGTTCACAGTAAACTTTAATTGCTGATTTTACACTTACATACTTCATGAAAGGTAAATGTTAATTATTGTTTAATAACAGACAACAATTTAGTTTCTGTAATGCACTGAACAATCTCAATGATTTCTGCACATTAAATAATTAATCAGACTAAACTCGAAGAATTAGGTGGGCATTAAAAGCTGTAAAAATTAAGAGAAAAATAAATACAAAATACATATCTGCAGAAAGGCAGAGGATGCTTTGAAAGTTCACTCAAGTAGAACCTTCTCTACCAGGATCCCTCAGAGAGCAATTCATTTGGGTGTGCCATAAATTAATTTTGAAAAGAAATACCACTAAAAACACACTAGACACTTGCCATGCTTACCAGATTTTTGATGCTGTGATATGAACACACACTAACTACAAGATATACCAAAGGTATTGAGATGTAGGCAATGTTGTATTCTACAACTGTAGCCCTGGCAATTGCTTTCTTAAAATACTCACGTGTACAGGTGAAGTAAAGTCTACATGCTTTTGTACAACATGTACTTTGAGCAGTGTGTTTGTTTTAATGCAAAATTAAAATAGCAGTTCTGACACCAATGATTTTCTTCACAAATACAATGGGTCAGGGGCACTTCCTCAGCAGTTGGAACTGATTTTTCTACTCTATTTGCACTTTTAGTTGACAAGGTACAGAGGAAGAGAAGAATGTCCCTCAACATGTCAAGAATGCGTGCTAAGGTATTTGGGGGTAGCTTATGCCAAGGCCTGCAATTTTTTAATCACTTCAGAAAATGACATTTCTATAGATGACAACAAGCCAAAATGTTTTTCCAAAGCTCACCTTAATGTTAAACTTAAAACACAGGCATTTCATTACTATACGAAGCAAAATTCCTCAACACTGCATGAGTTAAGGATCCATTTTTCTATGAAATCTTTTCTAATATTTTATATTTTGAAGACCAAAGGTTGACTCCTTTATGGTAGGGAGTTAATGAATAAGGGCAGGAAAGAAAACTGGGTAAAAAAGAGAGAAAGATGGTAAAAATATTAAAAGCATAACTTTCAATACTGCTAGAAGATAATACCATTTTGTTCTCTTTAGGATATGTTATATTAGTATTATAACTGTCAATTCAGATCTTTTTTACAAAAGATATTTGTGTGTTTTATATGTATTAGGCACATATGGAAAGAGAAAGAAGGAAGAAAGCTTTATTTCTTTATCCTACTGCTGTCATACTACTGAACTGCCCTCCAAAAAGTCACCCACCCAATCATTCAATTCAAGAGCCCATTCTCAGAGCCAATCTTCCTTGACTTTTCATCCATCTCCCAGATATCCTCCAAGAGAGGAATTCTACTGTTTTCTATACAGTTTATCTAATGTTGACCTCAATTACAGCTATTGCTTTATTATCCACCAAACCTATGTCTCTAACCTCAAACTATCTCCTGAGATACATCTTCATCTCACCGATCCTGATAACTGGATTGCTTCTAAGTGCTCACAATAAGCTTCAAACATTACTTACTCCACCAAGACAAATGTTTCCCCAAATCCCTTATTTCTATTTCTGGAGCCAAAATTTTCATCAACCAGACCAGAATCCCAAATTCATTCCTTGACTTGTTGCTATCCTACCCTACACTCCACATTCAAGCTTTGACAAAGACTTCTGGATTCTTATTCTGTAATGTTGTCTGTATAAGTAATCTCCCTTTTACTTCTACTTACATTCAAGTATTCATGATCTCTCACCTGGATTACTTTATAAGCCTATTAACTTATCTCCTTACCTCAAGTCTTTTTCTACTCCAATTTATCTTACACAAATGGGCAAAACTGATCTAAGGGGCAGCTATTATTATTTAACATTTTGCCAAATCTTTAATGATTAATGAATTAAATACAAACTCTTCATCCTACCCCTCAGAATTATAGGCAAAGCAGGTCTGCCTATTATAAAAATAGTTGCTTTATCCCTTTTCTACAGAGAGTCTACTAAGGCATAGAAGACTAACAAAAGTAAGATACCAATAGAAGACACTAATAACAGTAGACAGTGATGAGGGAGAAAAACTAGGTTTAATTGGCTATCAGGATTCTTAATGTTAATTTTTTGTGGCTAAGTGAAAGTTTTAAGTCCTTTAACTAAAAATCTCCCAAACGAGGATATTGTCTTTTCAGTCAGGACAGTTGATTTCCAGCTCAGGTAGTGTGTAACAGTACCACACACACATATTTGGTTAACACATCAGCAAGGCCATAATATATATAAATGAGGATGTCTAAGAATTAAAGCTGTACTGCTTTCTATAAAGGAAACACCCAACGGAAAGTCAATGCTTTAAAGAAGATTTAAATGACCCAGTGAAAAAAGAATAAAAAGAAAAGACATCTGGTCCAGCACTGCCACTTAATTATATAAACTTTGCTCTATCCCTCTCAAACTTACAAAAATTATGGCCAATATTATTGATTATTCCTTATTAGTATTAGATAAACATGGAATGAGCATATTGTTTCCAAGTATCAACTCAAATTGAAATACTTAACATTACTGCCAGTAGAAGTATAGCACATATCATTACTGTGATTTTTACATTAGTTCATAAGCCTATGTGATTAATCTTTGTTGTCCCCACTAGACTAATTGCCAATAGAGCAGGGGCCATGTTTTATCACACTTGGAAGACACAAAAATTTAAACAAATGGAAAGACATGCCAGTGTTCTGAGATAGGAAAACTCATCATCATAAAGACATCAGTTCTCCCCTTAGTTAATTTAAAATGTGATACAATCCCATAAAAATACCATAGTTCTGCCCTCACTCCCACACATGGAGCTAGATAAATTGCTTAGAAATCATTTGGAAGAATAATAAAATAAAAATAAACCAAGAAAACTGGTTTATTGAAAAAGAAGAGCAAGGATATCTCTATCAGATTTTAAAGCATACTATAAAATACATACTTGTATGATTAGAAGCGTGGTACTAAAAAAGTGTGGTACTAACTCACGGACAAACGGATCTGTGGGATAGAAAAGAAAATCTAAAAACAGACCCAACTATATAATGGAAATCGCTTTGTAACGTTATGAGTTAATAAAACCCAAATGAACAGGAATGAAATTGTTTAAAAACTGTATTTCCATGTTTTATATATTTAAATGAGATTGCTTGGTTTTTTCATACAAACTTAAAATGATATAAAGTTTCACTGTTCTGCATTTATCACGATTTCTAAAGATATGGCTTAGTTACCAAATTAGAACTGTTCTTCAGTAATGCTGCAATTACTCAGAGAACAACCCCTGCATAGAATACAATTTACACTGACAAAAGCAATTAAAAGTACAAAAGAAGTATACCTCTTTTTAAATCTTAACACTGAAGAGGCTCTTCTTAAATTCTTTTAGAAAAAAGAACATCCCAATAAATAATGCAATTGGTTATTACAAAAAGCAGACACATACTCTTTAGTGAATATCCCTCGAGGGCCAGTTGCTGTGCCCTGGCTAGCATCCAGTGAGTGTTTTTCCAGAATATTACGGGCAGCTGGACTTAAACGGAACCTAAGAAGAAAACATGAAGATTAATGGAACCAATTAACACTTCTATTGATTCAAATAGATCTAAATGTCAATGGTTTTGCTGATAATTACAAAAATAAAATCTTCTAATAAAGCTAAAATGACTCCCAAATATGGTCACAGTCAAATAAGTTAATATGTACTAATCTGGTTTATATTACTATCAAAAAATTTTCATAAAAATTTAACTAGTTACTATTTCAAAATATTCTTTTAATAGAAGTAAATATTCATTAGGAGAAAGAGCTTCTTTTTTGACTAACTGCTGCTTTCTTCATGGCTCCTCATCACACATATTAATAAGAAACTATTTTGTTTTTCATATATTTTTTATTGTGGTAAACTATATGTAAAATTTACCATTTTAAGCATTTTTATATACAATTGAGTGGCATTAAGTACATCACACTGTTGTGCAAGTCATCACCACCCATCTCCAGAACTTTTTCATCTTCCTAAACTGAAATTCTGTATCCATTAAATAACATGAAATCTCCATTCCTCTGCCCCACTCCCCCTCCCACTCCCAATCCCTGGCAACCACTGTTTTACTTTGTCTCTATCACTTGACTACTCTAGGTGATTCACACAGATGGAATCATATAGTATTTGTCCTTTTGTGATTGGCTTACTCTACTCAACATAATGTCTGCAAGGTTCATCCATGTTGTAGCATGTATCAGAATTTCCTTCCTTTTAAGGCTGAATAACATTCCATTGCGTGTACACAGCATTTTGGACATATGAGTTGTTTCCACAACTATGCTACTGATAATGCTAAATACACAGATGTACAAATATCTCTTCAAGTCTTTGCTTTTAAGTTTTGAGTATATATCTAGAAGTGGAATTTCTGGATGGCATACTAATTCTATTTTTAATTTTGTGATGAACTGTCATACTGTTTTCCACAGCGGCTGCACCATTTTACATTCTTGCCAGCAATGCACGAGAGTCCAATTTCTCTACATCCTTGGATAATGGTCATCCTAATGGGTGTGAAGTGGTGTCTCATTGTGGTTTTGATCTGTATTCCCCTAATGATTAGTGATATTGCATTTTTCCTGTCCCTACTAGCCATCTATTTATCTTCTTGGAAGAAATGTCTACTTAGGTCCTTTAATTGGGTTGTTTGTTTTGTTGTTGAATTATATCCTTCATATATTTTTTAAAGTCTTTAATATTTCCACGATAGCACTTCTACTTTACATATTCATACACTCCAGAATAGTAAGAAAATAAAAATAGTTATATTGATTTTACAGGCAGGGAAACTGAGGCACACCCAAGGTCACATGATTAGTAAGTTTCTACTCTCCCATTAAGACTTCTAAGCAAGGTAGCAAACATAAATGACTACAAAGATATAAAAAAAAAATGAGTAAAACAGGTTAGGTCTAGAATTTAAAGCTAAGAAATGGAGAGAAACATCTGGCACTTGCTGCATTTCAGGAAAGCACTGGTAGCTGATATAAGCTAGTGTTCCAAAATCTTTAGATTTTTCAAGAGAAATTGAAATTTTATATTTTTATATAAGGTTAACTAGTAACCAACCAATTCAAAAAAGACATTTTAAAAAAATTCACTGTGTGGGCCAGAACTGTGTAGGTTCATAGGTCAGTGGGATTTTAACCTACACAGTGGGGCCTCAGACTCACATGAGTCTCTGATGATAACTGGTCCTAACAGAATTAGAGTATACTCTATTATCTTTGCAAGGGGAGAAGATCATTAAGTATGTAACATCAGTGAGACTGCCTTTTGATTTTCATGGTAAATGAAAGAGAAGAAAATAAAGGGGAGTCATGGCAACAGAGTCAGAAATACTTTATGCTGTAAATGAAATTTAAAAATCAGTATTTCAAAAAATACTCTGATTTCATCATCACACATTATATACATGTATTGAAAGATAACTCTGTCTGGGGATAAGTATGTACAATTAATACATGTCAATTAAAAAATAGATTAAAAATACTGTGAATTTTTTCTGACAAGAACTGAGAAAGAACAGACAATGTTAAACTAAAGGAAAAAATATTAAAAACTGAAAAGGTCTGCATTTTTATGTAAGTTTAAAAGAGGTTCTCTATAGAACTTTTTCTCTGTAATTATAGAGAACGTTAAAATAAATAAATGAAACTTAGAAATTTGCAGTCCATCAACTAAAGCTATGTAAAGCTAAAGTAAAATGATGTTTATCAAGTATCTGTGTGTTACAGAACAATGAGACAAAATTGAGCTCTAATCTGTGTCAGAAATTCAAATGCAGGATAGTTTGAAAAGGAATGCATGTTAAAATGCTAATTACATTTTATATCAGTTATACATGTGAAATTGGAATTCACATTATAGTAATAACAATTCCATGAGTGGGAACACAATATGAAGTTTGGTATAATGAAATTGTGAAAGTTGTAAGAATCAAAATGGAGTCAGTGTTAAAAACCCTGACAAACAGAGCCAGGGAAGGCCATGAAGGAAAGGGTTCTCATGCATAAATGCCTGATAAGAACTATCACAAAGGATTTGGCAAAACCACAACCTTGCACAAAGGCATCACAAACTTACACAAAAAAATTTCTGTGAGGACATCTGCCCAGCAACTGCCTATCTAACTGACCAGCATCACCCTTGTTATTTTTTTTTTCTTTTAATTATTTTTATTTTGTCAATATACAATGTAGTTGATTATTGTGACCCATCACCGAAACCTCCCTCCCTCCTCTCTCTCCCCCCTCCCACCCAGGTGTGTCCCCTCCATTTTCTTGTTGTAAGAACTTCAAAAAAAAAATTGTGGTTGTTATATCTTCCTCTCCCCCCCCCCGCTCAGTTTTTTGTTGTTGTTGTTGTTGTTTGTTTGTTTGTGTGTGTGTGTGTGTGTGTATGTGTGTGAATTGATTCATTCACCTTTAGCTCCCTCCAATAAGTGAAAACATGTGGTATTTCTTTTTCTCTGCCTGACTCGTTTCACTTAATATTATTGACACCTCCCTCCCTCCTCCCTCTTTCCCCTCCCCCCCCCGAATGTCCTTTCCGTTTGCTTGTTGTAACAACTTCAAAAAAGTATAGTTGTTATATCTTCTTCCCCAAACCCCCCGGGTTTTTTTTTGTGTGTATGTGGGTGAATTAATTTGTTTTTTTGGGGTTTTTTTGTTTTTTTTTTTAGCTCCCACCAATAAGTGAGAACATGTGGTATTTCTTTTTCTCTGCCTGACTCGTTTCACTCAATATTATTCTCTCAAGGTCCATCCATGTTGTTGCAAATGGCAGTATTTCATTCGTTTTTATAGCTGAGTAGTATTCCATTGTGTAGATATACCACATTTTCCATATCCACTCATCCGATGATGGACATTTGGGCTGATTCCAGCTCTTGGCTATTGTGAAGAGTGCTGCAATGAACATACTTATAGCCAAGGATAATTATCTCAAAACATTTATGTAATCTTCATTTTTCCCTTAAAACCCTTTGTCTTTCTTTACCTCCCCAAATATGAACCTAGTTTACTATGACATTTGTATTCCCACTGTAATGCCCTATTCATGAATAAATATTTTCTTTTAGAGACTCTCTCTCTGCTTGTTATTTAGGTTGACAAATTCCATTCTGGAATGTTAAAACCTAATTTAAGCACAATGTGGACACAAACTGTTTTGTTCTCCACTGGGTAAGCAGGGTTTTCACAGTACCTGGAATACAGCATATCTTCAATAACTATTTGTTTACTGAATGAACAATGATGGTGAAATAATCATTCCTAGGTCTCAGTGTCCTAGAGAAAAAAGGGAAAATCAGTACCTACCTACTTAATGTACAAATATGTTTTGAATATGATAATGATTAAAATACCCTGAGAGCTGCCATGACAATTTTTTTTTTATGTCATCATTCAAACAAACATACTTACTGTAGTGTCCCCGGTGTTGGTTCCTTCTTGACAGGGATAGAAGCCTGTGGTTCTGGTGAAGGGTGAGGCACTGATGGTTTTGAAGCTGGTGGTGGAGGACCTACATCTTTGGGAATTTCAACATGCTTCCAATCTTCTCCTTCTTCAACTATCAAACCAATTAGTGAACCTAGCCGTATATTTTTAGTTCCTTCTTCTACCTATATTTTAAGAAAAAAACAATGGTAGAGATGGAAAGGCTCATGATCGCCATGAGTTTATTCCTTTGTTGGACAATTCTGCACTGGTTAGAAACATCTCATAATTTGAGCTAAAAGCTACTTTCCAGACAGCTTGCCTCCACCTTCCACATTCCTTTCCCACCTTCTCTCACTTACACCTTCCTTCACTTCCTCCTATTCTCAGTTACTAATATCCTTTAGCATAAAGAAAAAATCTAGAATCTTTCCTCTTTCTGACAGCCTTCAACTATATAAGATCTATCATTACCATCTTCTTTTTTGATGTCAATTAATACAAATCCAAAAGGGGACACTGTGGTTACTTATCTGAACTATTTGTCTTTCCCAGAAAATTTCTATACATTGGCTTTGGAATGTCAAGAATAAAGGATTAACTCCCCCAAATTAGTCCTATCTACTAAAATTAATTTAAGGCAAAATCTTTTCAGTAAACTTAGCTTTTGGAAAAAAGAACGTTCCATTGTATAGATAAAAATGGTTAACTACACTGGTTAATTTTAAATATAGTTTATCTCTTTCTCTATATTTAATTATTTCCCTGTATATCTATTTATAAATCTAAGAAATAAAATAAAACATCATGGGTTTTTTTTATAAGTACATCAGAAATATAGTGGTGTCTCAGTTAATCAAACTCTTTTTTTCATGGTATCAGCTTGACCTCTGAACAAAGATGATTTCTTTAAAAAATTAAGATAAATATATTTTAAGCATTTCAGCAACCTTAACTTATAAAGAAAGGGCTGATTCTAATTTACTTATTAAAAGAAGTCCCTGGAAAACCGTCATGTAAGTTCAGCACTGGAAGAAAATGTCATTACTTTAAAATTTTCTATTATTCCCTTTCAGTTACTCTAAATAAGGTTCATTACAGATGTACTTAATGCATAACAGAATAACAGGCTGTAGGATGTTCATTAGTATAAGAAAAAGCTTAACTCTTAGAAAGGTGTGACATTTTAGAGTAACACTAACTCTGATGTGTATGCACTATTCTTAAAAAATAAGGCATAAGTTCTGGGGGTTAGAAAGATTTCTAAGTTTACTAATTACTGACAGAGAATAGGAATAATGCTTTGATGAAGCAAAATATATATGAGAAATGTGTACATAAAATTAAACAATGTTTAATGAATTACAAGTTATAGAAAAATACTAAATCCCCCCAAAATTTAGTTGCTTAGTTGTTTGTCACATACTAAAAAGTTTTACTTCTGTGGGCTGTTCAGTTTTCTTTACTATGTCTAAAAGTTGAGTTAAGATTATTATTAAGCTAACATTTTTTCTTCTTCTAAAAGTATTTAATTAGCTGCTTGTGGATAGCTAACTCGAAACCACAAAGTAAAATGGTTAATCTTCTAAAAAATTGATAGAAAAAAAGAAGCATAATTAAGTGACACGAAGTCTACTTGATGTTAATTCCTTTCAAAATTGAGCCAGGAACAGGATTTATATCAAAGTACAACAAAGAACATCATTAAAATGCAAAACATTCTTAAAAAAAAAAAAGTTTTGTTTTAAAAATCAGATTTCTGGAATCTGAGTTAAACACTATTTTGAATCTAAAACTGACACCTCACCTTCTGTTTCATTGATTCCATATATACCCTACCAACATGACATTGACACCTTCACAAGTAGGCAATAATGAGCATTTATTATCATTTCAATTTTTACCGTATCTAAATGTCAAACACAATTTATTTTTAACCATTCACGTCTTTTCCATTAAAAAAAAATGACACCACGAAGCATAAAACCCAAATACAATAAACAAGAACAAGTGATATACTACCACACAACTTGAATACATAACAGAAATTAAAGATGATGCTGATTACAGTTCCATTCTAAAATCACTATATGAATTTAAGACAATTTCTTAGAACTTTCCTATTCCCTTAATGCATTAAGAAATCTTTTAGAGGTGTCTAGTTTCCTGTAGACATTTGTTTATGCTGTAGTCAGCAAATATTCAAAACTGGTACAGATTTAGTAAGAAAAGAGTAAATAATACTCTTTGCAAAATTGTGTTTAGAAATCAAACTCCTCTGTCTGAGTTAGAACCGTGGATGCACTTTGCTCTTCCAAAGCGTTTGAAGCTTGAGGACACCTCAAACGTCTAAGGCTTTCCATGCATTTGGCTTACTTGACCAAAGCCCTCTTAGTCTTGTGCCATTGATTTCTTAATATTAAATACACTTAGTCTTATGGCTCCTCAATGCTGAAATACTGAATCTTTGTGTGTCATTCAAAGTATTAACCTTTCCTCCCAATTGTGTATAGACTTCCTGGGTTTTAATGCTGGCTTTACTACTTTCTAGTAGAGTTCTTTGTGTCACCATGCTTGTTTTCTAGTCTGTAAAATGTAAATAATAATAGTAGCTATTTCATAGAGTTGATATGAGGAATAAATGAGTTATATGTAAGGCATTTAGAATAGTGACTGACATCTAGTAACTACTACAGATATGTTAAAGGTATTATTATTATTATTTCTGTTGTTATTGATGTGGTGGTGGTTTCCTTCAAATTACTGATTTTTAAAACAAAAAATATACTCAACAAGGATCAAAATTAGACTAAAGAGGAGTACGCCCTTGGTAAGGGTTACCAGCATGGGGCTGGCAGCACTAGAGGGAAAACAGCAAAATGTAAGATAATAGGTGGTAAGGCCTGTGACAAACTACGTCTTCATAATACTCTCACAGAGCTGAATTCCATCCTTGGGCCTGTGTCCCTAGTATGGGGCTTCTGTACCAGAGACACTCCCATAGGCTGACCTATTAATCACCTGCAAATGTGCTAAATACAGCCCACCTAAGCTCATCAGTGTATCCAAGGATATAAAATACTGAAGTCAAGACACAAAATACCTATAGCAGTATTTCCAAACAGAGGAACTGTCTGAGGGGATTCACTCCATTAAAGGTGCTGATAAATACTGACTTTAAATTCTGACATGACAAAATAATCAGTAAGTTAAGCAATTATTTGAGTATTTTTATATCTTTAAAATACAACAGTTTAAGAGCTACTAAATGATTATTGACAGAGCATGTGCAGGAGTTAGTGGAGATGAGCTGAGTCACATGACTGATTTATTTGGTTCAGCACTGCAGGTTTCCATCATGGTTTGAACCATTATACAGTTTAAAGTTATTTTTATTCTTTAATATATACTGTTTAACTTATATACCACAATGAACTCTAGTCTAAAAGGAAGATACATAAGAAACACTGAAGATGGAAACAAATCAATGAGAAGCTAAATAAAATGCAGAAGGGAACAAGAAACATTCATTAAGTCCCTGAATAACAGTTGTCTGGCTTTCAAGTGCCAAGCACTATTCTAGCACAGTGTTAACTCATTTAATTCTCCTAACAACCTTATGAAATATGTTCTATTATAATTCCCATTTATAGGTGAGGAAACTGAGGTACGGAAATGTCACATAACTTGCTCAAGACCACAAGGCTACTATAGTAGGTAGCAGAACTGGTATTTAAATATAGGCTGACATTAGAGATATACAATCAGTACCAAATTTGTAATTTACATTCACCTGATCAAAATTATCATACAGCACTCAAGATGGTGCTAGTATTTTTAAAAATAAGCTTAAAAGAGAAGATATAAAGTGGATATAACTGATTGCGCTATTAATTCATGGAGGACATGGCCTATCTTTCCTCAGAATGTCTCATTCACCCATTTCAACATGGAAAAAATAGGACTGAGAACATCTTCCATTTAGTAGAATTTGCTCTGAGTCTTGAGAGGGTATTTTCACAAAACATTTCTTAAAACTATCATGGTCCACAGAGAAGAATCAATTGAAAGTCTCACAAGTTCAAATTTCAACCATAAACTTTTAAACCATAAAATTCAACTTTGAAGATGAATGCAATTTAATGAAAAATAAGGGTGGGGAAGGGAGAATCTAACAAATAAAACTATACTGAAAAATACATTCTTTACAAAAACATTAGTGACACAGTATTAGAATGAGATACCACTAAGAAACTAATTGAAGAATATGAATAGTACCAAGAATAATTATTCTGCTGTTTTTAATATTCAGATGTTCAATAAAAGGAAATATTTATTTTTAAAAAATATGCTTTAATACCTATGGATGTTACTTTCACAAAAGAATTCTATTTTCATTTTATTTTATTTTTGCTGCTGGCTGGTATGGGGATTTGAACCCTTGACCTTAGTGTTATAATACCATGCTCCAACCAACTGAGCTAACTGGCCAGCCCTCATAATTTTGTTTTTGAAAATTTTGAATAATGGTCTACTGATATAATAAAAATCTACCAATGATATAATGCCAGTCAGGATTTTTTAATTATATAAGTTTAAATAATTTTAAACATCCTTTTCATCCTCAATAGGACCCTAGTTTATAAGACAAATTATACAGCAATCTGAGAGATCCAGTCAGGATGGTGGAATAGATGGTCCCCAGTGTCACTCTCTCCCAGAAATCAACCAATTTACAGTTATAAAAAAGCAACAACAGCCAAGTTCGGGCTGCTGGAGCTCAGCGGAAGAGGAGGAGAGACCTATGGAGTACATGAAGGCGAGAGAAGCCATGATGAGAGAAAGAAAAAACTGCTCTGAGCGTTTCATGCCACGGCTACTTTAAGGCTGGAGCTGCTGAGCACACAGAGCAGGACCCGGCAAAAGCCACAGCTGTGCCATTCAGATGGAGTTGCTTGGAGGCTGCAGGGGAGAAGAGGGCGTTGGTGGCCCCCAGGACAGCAAGACCACTAATAGGGTTCCCGTGGACCCACACAGGAGCGAGGAGTCACAACAACTGAAAAAAAGGAGCCACACAGAGGCTGGTGAGTCATTGTAAGGGACTGGAGCACGGCCAGTCCCATGGGAAATGTTTGGAGTATGGGCAGTGGGAGAGATGGGCCCACTGGAGGAACACCGGGGCACAGCATGGACAGCTGATCTGTACCCCAATCAGCACAAGAACACTCAAAAGAGACTGGTCAGGAATATAGAATTGCATGGGGTACAGTTTGATGAAAAGACTCAGGCCCAGATCAGAGTTACTATACAACCCAGGTGCACCGAGTCTCTGGAGAGCTGGAAGTAACTATTAAATCAACAATTAAAACCTGTGCTGCACAAAAAGTCTTCCCTAGGGAAGCAGCAGCAAAGCAGCAATTTAGCTCAACCAAAGAGCTCAAGTACTGGTCCCAACTGGAAGTTCCCCCACTTTACAAGTAAGCAAAGGACACAAAAAAATTAGTTCTGGCTCAGACACACCGACAGCACCTCGGTCTGCCCTGGGATGTGAGGCATGAAGCCAGGGACCAGACCCCCATTCCCTCAACCAGGCATACCATGCCAGCACCTAGGTGCCCACCTGGGGACCCGAGGCATGGATCCAGGGAGTAGACCCTCCCCCCAACAACCAGGCACACAGCCAGTGCCAAGGAGCATGCCAAAAACAACACCTCCACGTGGGTGGTCCACCACAGCCACCACAATAATGGCTGCCACGAAAGTGGCTAGATTTCACAACCACCAAGCAGATGGTCCATCAGCCACTAGAGTGCACTGACACAAGGAGAGTCACCAGCAGAGATAAAGAAAAGAAGAGGATGTCTCTCTTCACAAAGCCCATTAGAGTGTCAGAAGAAGCATCTGCTCTACAATAATATTGGGAGACCTGATCATACCTCTCAGCATTGGACAGATCACCTAAGTAACAAATCAACAAAATAACCATTATTCTTTTAGAAGGAGAGAAGAAATCTAGGGTAATTAGAGGGGGGTGTGGTGAGATTGGACAAGAGGCATAAAGAATAAGTATGATTTGTAACAATATATACGCTAGTAATATTGATTTGATCAACATATCTCAATGTTGAACCCCCAAAATATGTGTAACCAATTTTGATTCAATAAAAATTTAAAAAATAAAAAAGCAAAAAAAAAAAAAAAGAAAGAAATTATACAGCAACCCTAAATATGGTATAAACCAAATTAGACAACCTCTAATAAACCATCCAAATATGTCATCCTAAGATTCTACTTGATTAATTTATCATTTAAGACACCTGCTGTCCAATTTGCTGACACCAAATTTAAGACTAAGCTGATGAACTAATCTTCATGTGTGTAATGATTTAAGGATTTTGCATGACAATTTACTAGTGATTAAAAGGGAATTAAAAAACTTTCCCATTAACTAAAATAAATTGGAAATAAATCATAAAATTATCTACATTGATGAGCAATTACTCTTTATTAACAGTATTAGCAGTGTCAAACCTTTTCTCTAGCTCTAATTAAAATGTAATAAATGCTATTTTATATTTAAAATGAAATTCAGATGCAAAAATTATAAGACTGCATACAAAGAAAACAATGAAATTGTGGGGGGAAAAAAGAAGAAAAATCTCTCAAAGCCTATGGAAATAAACCCCTAAGAGTAAAGCAGGCTATAATTTCTAACCCTTTCAAAAATGTGGGCTAAAACTAAACACTAGAGTTTTAATGTTTAAATTTTAGTGCTTATTTTTAGTGTTTAGTTTAGTTTTATATTATACTTTGCCTTCGTACAAGCTCAATTATCCTACTCCTTGATTCTGAAAGTAAAAGTCTTTTATAAAAATCATTTTATTATGTATGCCTATAAAAATCATTTTGTTATATGAGAATATGAGAATTATTCACAATGAAAGAAAAAGGTGATAAAGGTGTATCCTGCTAGTGGTAGGGGATGGAGTGGGATGAAAAGACAAAAAAAAAAAGGGGGTGGGGGCCCCAGTAATGTCACCTTCATTTTTTCTCAAATTTCCACTGTAAAATTACATACTTCCATTCCCATTATCCAAAAAGCATGTAGAATAATAATAAAGACATAAAGTCCTAAAATATACATACTATCTCTTCCTCAGTAAAAAAATAGCTGTGCCACTAAAGCTGCTAACAACTATACCCACCCCCTCTCCAACCTTATTGGGGGCCAGATGAATAGGCACCACTGACCCAGTGACACAGTTAGCAATCTGAAATGCACTACTAAGCAACTAGGTGGAAAATGCTATCAATTCTGGAAGACCTTCACAGCCAAACAGTCCAGAACTAGGGCCAAGAACAAAGCCTGCCAAAAGCACACATGATAAAATATAACTGGGTTTATTACATATGGTAATTCAAGAAATCTTTTTCTTTTTCAAAATATTACATAAATTAGTCAAGGAAACTATTTTTGGTGCAAATATTTATATTTTCCTAGTTATAAAGGCACAGAAATTTTAGCCTTCAATTCATATTTCCTCCAACGAAATTAACCGTATTTTCAACAACGTGTTTCAACCTAGCTGTTAATATCATAGATGACAAGTAAAGGAAGTCTGACACACTAAATTGTCAAAAATAAAACATACTGGCTAGAAAAGAGGGGAAAGAGAATTTCTTAGTAAGAGACATGAACAAAAAAACTCTTTCTAGACCTACGACTAATCAGAGTACAACACTCCAAAGTGTATTCTTTGGATAGAATGTACAAAGAAAGGTGTTACAGCCATGCTCAAAGCAGAGGTGAGCTGGTGACACAGAACTAAAAACACATCAACAAGGGGCTACTGATAGATGTGTAGCTTATCTGTACAAATCAAACGGTAGAGTCATAAACATGTACTTACCGTCCCGTCCAGTCACAACCAACCAGTACAAATTATTAGACAAACACACAGACTGATATGATGGCTAATGGTCACCAAGAGCAGAGTAAACAATTATAATAATGGGCACAGCAACATTAATTGAGCACTTGGTAGATAAGAATACACTCGTATTTTCTCACTCTTTCCTCTCACTCTTTCCTACTACCCCATGATGTAGTTGTTATCATTACCACCTTCACTTTATTATGAAGAAAAAGGCACAGAGGTTAAAGAATTTGCTAATTACTACATGACTAATAACTGGCAGAACTTTCTGGCAATATGAATCAGTCAGCAGTGTGACTTCAGAGCTCAGTCTTAGCTGCTACACCACACTATCTAGTAAATGTTCTAGAAGTTAAGAAACAAACATGCTTGTTGGCTCCATCAGTGAATATACCATGTAACCCTAAACAGTCATGCTTTTATCATATGTAGCTTTAAGCATTTTATTTTACTTCTTTTCACATAAGCTTTATTACTCCATTATAAAAATAACATACACATTACAGAAAATTTAGAAAATACAGAAAAATAGGGCTGTTATTAGACCTTAACACTAAGACATTTTAAGCATCTAAATTAAAAATGTATTATATAGTAGATAATACAACATTACAAATAAAGAGATAAAAATAAAAGGAAACTTTATCTCAAGGAATTTTACATGTAAGAAATCTTCATCCTGTTGAAGACAATCAAAATAAAAACTTACCACTATTTTGGCCAAGATGCCGTCATCACTTGCATCTAAGGTAACCACAGCCTTGTCAGTCTCAATTTCACATAATGCATCTCCAGTACTCACAGCTTCACCTATAAAACAAGACTGGGTTTGTTTTGTTTTTAAAAATATAAATATTAATATGTGTATGTATGTGTGTATATCATGAAGAAATACCTTCTGGAGCTATTTCTGGGCTGTGGAGTTATAAGTCTCAGTGTGTGTGTGTGTGTGTGTGTGTGTGTGTGTGTGTGTGTGTGTGTGTGTGTATGTGTGCACATGTTATGCTTTGTTGTATTTTCCAAAACCTCTATAATGGATACAAACGATTTGTTATAATAAAAAAGCTATTACAAAGATTATTGAGCAAATATTAAAAATGAAACCACACTTTATAGACAATAGCAATGAAAGCAAATCCTCCAATGAACAAATCAATTCGAGACCCCTCATCCTCCTCTCCCCCTTTAATATACTTTGACTATTATTCCATTAAGACAAGTTTCACAATTAATAGCACTTCTGAGCTAACATCTTAGAGCAAGTTCAGAAAACCTCACAGTACCACACAGTAGAAATGAATAAAGCATATAAAGCACAAAAAGAGAAAATCAAAGACACAGTTAAGTCAAATAAGGACCATTTTTATGCAACAGAAAAGATATGGAAACTCCAAAATGTTGAACAGGACTTGAAGCTACAAACTTAACTGCTTTCTGGATCTAGAAGCAGGTTTGAGGTGGAGAGGGGAAAAGAGGTACAGTGGTTGGTTTTCTTTGGAGAGTAAATGGAACTAAAAATAGCCTGCTGGAGAAAAGGAACTTAAATCAGATCCACTATTTGAAGCTAGGGCTAAGTTGGGTTCCTCTAGTGAGAATAGAAGGCTGATAAAATGGGCAATTAAAATCTGTTGACTGAGACTATGGCTTTAATCAGAAACTGTGAGTCTATGACGGTATGGGACAAAAACACTGCCTCTATATCAGGAGCAGAGCCAAACCATGCTCTGGCTCCTGGGCTGCATCTGCTAATATTCCCAGTATCAACAGCAAAATCCCTGGAGGAGGGCGGTAGGGGGGAAATGAATAGGAGGGAAGACACTGAAACAAACAAAAAAAACTTCCACTCAAAAGTAAATGGCAAAACAAAGTTCTGAAACATGAAGAAATCTAACGCTAAGAAAGCAAGCTACAAAATCAGTAACTGGGACAGAAATTTGTATGTTCAAAAACATAAATGAAGGTAAAAGAGCCATCATAAGAAGGAATTTTTAAAAGTACAGAAATGAAACAATATTGTATCAGATAGAAAGAAAAAAACTAACTAGAAATCATGGAAATAAAAAATTCAATCATTCAAATAAAAAGAAACAATAGGATATATTCTAGACTGAACATAGTGAAAGAGTGAATTAGTAAATTAGTAAATTGAAAGGTGGTATTAAGGAACTACCAGAACTTAACAAAGACAAACAAAAAGAAAAAACATAGGAAACAGCAGTTAAGTGACACAGATGGAGGCTGCAATGTTTGTATAATGGAGTTCCAAAAGTAAGACCCAGAGAAGCAATACATGAAGAGATAAAGTGCTGAGAATTTCACAGAACTGGAGAGAAATATCCTTGTAAAGAAAGAGTTCTAAATAAGGTTAGAATAGGTGTATTGACTAGGAGAAGGTACAAGGGAGCCTTGTAGTTTGCTAGGAATATTTTAAATCTTGTTCTAGGTGGTGGCTACATGTATATATGTGTACATAAAAATGAACTGAGCTTACACTTTATCCAAGTTATACCTTGATAGAAAATTAAACAGAAAAAAAGAGTATTAGACTATATAAACATAAATCCACATTAGATACATTGCAGAGAAATTACATATTATCAGCAATAAAAACACAATCTCAATTGCTATCAGAGGAAAAAACAGACTACCTCAATGGAATGATAGACTGAGAGCACACTTCTCAACAGCTGCAATAGAAGTCAGAAGACAATGAGGTAATATTTTCAAATAGTAGAGGAAAAATAACTGTCTAGAATTTTATATGCAGCCAAACCATCATTTAAGAAGGAAGGAAAAGTATTCTTTAGATAAATAAAAGCTAAGAAAATTTATTACCTATTGATGACCACTTAAAAGAGCTCTTACAGGATAATTCTTCAAGAATTGGACACAGAGATAACCCATGGGATGGAAGAAACAAGGTATCACAAAAATTGCTAAAATGTCAGCTATTAACGATTTAAAAGATAATGATTGAGGGTTTAAAAAAGGTAAAACAAACTCTAAAAATAATAAGATTGATAAGGGAATGTTTAGGTGATAGTTAAAGCATGCTAACAACTTTGATAGTTAGGAGGAAAAAATACTGAATATCTCTAGACTTTATAGGAAAAATTTAACTTAAGAATTAAAAAAAAAGAATTTAACAACAAAAATATAATCTACAGCATTTGAAAAAGCAGAAGAAAAACAGAAAATAACAAAAATGATCATCTAACTGAAGACAAGCACATGAAAAGAAAAAAGCAGAGAATAAAAATAGAAATGTGCAAAAAAATGGTAGATCAAATGTATCAAAAATCACAATAAATATAAATAGATTAAATTACATACTAAAAGGAGAGATTATCAAAATGAATACCAAATGAATACAAAAATAAAATCTGGGTAAATGGAGCTTACAAGAGATAGCCCTAAAATAAAAGAGTAAAAAATAGATAGAAAAATACATAACATACAAATACATTCCCCAAAACACACACACCAAAAATAGCTAGAATAGCAATATTAATAGGCAAACAATAAAAGTACATGAAGGAAAATCTAAAACACTAAGTTAACAAATATGCTCTGAAAGTTCACTGTACAGAAACTACTTCACTATATACCAAAATATTCAAATAGATAGTTATATTATATACAAAGTTAAAATAGTCCAGAGCTACCAATATGTTATTTTAATAGAAATAAACTTATCTGTTAAATGATATTTATTGATCACCTAAAAGGTGCCTTGTCTAACCCCAAGCCCTAGTCAACAAATATTTACTGCAAATGTATTGGGGCACTGAGGCTACAGCAATGGAAAACAACAACAACAAAGATTTAAGATTTCTGACAAGAAGTTTGCTTAATATCTAGTGATGAGTAAATTGGAAATCAAGATAAGGTTAAGTCAGGATGCTCTTAGAAAATTCAGGAGGTGCATCTAATTCAGTTTTTGGAAGGTAAGAGGCAGCTTCCTAAAACAAATTGCACCTATTTGAGCCTGAAAAGATGAGAAGGAGAAAATACAGTAAAAGGGCAGTGAGCCAGGCAGAAGACAACACACCCAAAGCCCTGGTGGCAAAGAGGACATGAAACTTTGGAGGCACTGGCAAATAGTACACAAGTGAAGCAATGAGACGTTATGCCAGTGAGATAAACAGAAACGGACCAAAAAGGACCTTTTTATGCTATACAAAGAAAGCTACAGTGCCGGATTATATAATATCACATACTTCTTTATATGAGACATGTTTTAGAGCTAAAACAGATTGTATTTAGAAAGAAAAAAAAATCACTCCTTTATATGTTTCTGCTGTATGCATGAGAGAAACTATTGAACTAGGTAACCTAGCAATTCAATATTTCTTAGATGCCTAGTAAATAAATTCTGGCCATAGGAAAACAATAAAATGATGTTATATTATTTGTGCTCACCCATATTCAAATTGCAACCACCCTTTAAGAACCATCTACAAATTCTACTTCATTCGTATAACTTTCTTGCAGTAACTCAATCTATATGATTTTATTCCTGAATTCCTACAGCAGTTACAATTAATTTGAAAAGAATCACAAACTGCATTATAAAATGTTGCACTGCTTCTGTTAATTACCCCCCCCCCCCCCTTTTTTTGTCTTTTTTACTGACCGGTAACGGGATCGCCACCCTCAGTGTCGCGCCCGTACCGGGGACCAGCAATGGGATCACAACCCTCGGTGTTGCGCCCGCGCCGCGCTCAGCCAGTGAGCGGGAACCGGTCACCACATGGGATCCGAACCCTCGGCGGGAGCGCTGCCACACTCCCAAGCGGCGCACTCTCCAGTGCGCCACTGGGCTGGCCCAATTACTTTTTAAAAATTGTGTTTTCCTGTGTTTACTAGACTATGAGCTTCTTCACAATAAGAACAGGACATATCTTAAGTGTTTTATGTTTCACTCCCACTCTGCAGGCCTCAGGCCAGTGCCCCACACATAATGAGTTTTAGATGAAAATGCTTTAGAAAAAAAATTACAATAATTTCACAAGCACTTATTTCCTCATAAGGTATATACATCAAACTGTCCTTTATATTTCTTTTGGTTCTAACATTTGACTTGCAGCATGCTTCTAACATTTAAGAAAAGGAGCCATTTTCTTTTTTTAAAAAACTATACCTATCTCCACTCACATAACACAGACATATATGTCAGCTATATAAGAATGCTGACAGAAACACAGAAAAAAATCTATTGTTGTATGGTGAACTACCCATGAACCACAGCAAAGTTTAAAACACAATATTATTATGTATGCTATCATTACCCCTAATTTATCACAAAACTATGGTTCTTATCTACCAATAATCAAACATAATGTAAATGCCAAAAGAGAAACTTGAGACTAAATAATGAGTCATGAAAATTCCAAATCTACTCAGTTTCAGCTTCGATCAACAATTTAGTGTTATAATTTATAAAAGGAACCACTCCCAACTCAGACATGAGTTTGACTCCGAGCTCTGACACTAGTGATCTTGACCAAGTTATTTAATCTCTCTGACTCTCAGAAAGATTTTGAATGTGAAGCTACATAAAAAAATCATTGAACTGGAAGTGTCAGGTTAACACTTAACATACATCTTTAGATAACACTTTACAGCACCTTTAGGTAAAAATGAAAATAAAATGTTAGGTACATTACTAACAACCATTAAGAATTAGGACACATTCTAGCCTCCTATTCCATATTCTGTCATTTCAAACAGATCATTCAATAAACATTAATGTATAAGGCACTGTACTAAGCACCGGGTGTAAAAACAACAAGATATGGTTCCGTCCA